TTAAGTCTCCAGTTTTCTGTGTCTTATCCTATGGAGTCTGAATACATAGCCCTGCACGTGGACTTCTTACCACTCGAAGAAGTGGGGAACACTTAAGTCCAGCTTCCTTGGTGCATTTCCTCTTCTTCCTCTAAAGTCTCTTCAACACACACACACACCCTCCCATCTTATATGTGCTTAATACATTACGCAGGTGAGCGGGCAAGGGGAGATCCCTGTTGAGAAAGCAAGTTGAGGACATAACCATGGCAACAACTACAGCACCAGAGAGGACACAGGTACACGTGAATCCCATTGTAATGAAGGCTACAGGGAAAATAAACAAGAACCGCTTTCCGGAGAGCATGGCTCTTCAGAGGCAAGAGAGGGGAAGCCATTCCGGATAAGACAGCCTAGTTCTTCTGCATTGCTTACATGTCAGTTTGTTCACTCCTAATACATACCAGGGGAATACTTACAAGCTAGCCCCAGAATGTTAAAGTGAGAACTTTAATTTGGAAGGGAAAAGATGTGCTGCTGTTTGCTGCGACACCAACACCTTATTTTATTTAGTAGTATTTATATACAGTTATCATTTCCAAGTGATCTCAAAGTGGTTCTTCTGTACAGAGCTAAGAGACAAAAAGGAGCGAGGAGGGAACAAGCACAAATGTACAGAGAGGGAACAGGGAGCCTGGAAGTGCCAAGGGGGCTTTCTTCCTGACCCTCAACATAGACTCCAGTTGCATCCCCTACCTTTTAATTAGCAGAGATGGCCCAAGATATTTTGCTGCCTGAGAAAAAAGACAATATGGTACCTCCCTTCCATTGTCCAGGAAGTGACTGGCCTCAGAGATTACTGAAACGTCATTGCTAGCAACAGGATAATACCACCCCCCAGCACCCATGAGGGCTGCTGGCTAGTTTACGGGGTGTAAGGCAGGCCATCTGACACACCTACTTCTGCCCTCCAACAGAGGGGAACAGCCAAGGTAGCAGTGCTGTTGTCACCCCTCAGCAAATGCCACCTGAGGTGGTTGCCCCCGTCTGCCCCCTTGTTGTGCTGGCCCTGGTAATTCAAGGTAAGTACACTGTGTTTTGATTCTGGATTATTTTAACCCAACTACATTTGCTCACATGGGTAAAGTGTGCAGGATTATTTATGGCCATGTTTCTATAGAACTTGTATTTTAAAAGGCGCGGGCGGCTGAATTTGCTCCTTCAGTGTTTCCAAGTACTGCTGAGCCTGCTCTCCCTTTTCTTTCTAGATGTGTGGGGGTGGGGTGGGAGAGGCACTAAACTAGAAGTCTAGAAGTTTCTGTACACTTTTTAGGAAATAGCTAAGCAAAACCCTCATTGGCTGTCAGTTATTGAAATAACTCAGGTAGCACATTTTAAAGGCATAAGTAATTGGATCATTTTCATTATCTCCCAAGTTTGCTTTCCAGTTCCAGTATTCTATAATTCCAGCCAAATATTCCAGCACATGTAATGCTTAATGGCAAAATAAAACATCTTCATAGACTACAAACTTTTACACATGATTGGTCAGAGCAATTGATTAATAACTTTTACAGCTAGTTATGAAAATGAGATTACAATACTTGTAAAATTAACACTGCATTTCTAATTCTCCTGCCTGTGGACAATTTGCACAACAAGCAATTCAGCCGTTCATAATTAACTAGCACATTTCAGTTTCCAGTTTAATTTTCAGTGGTGCATCTTTCTGATTCATACATTAAAACTGTGCTATTAAACCAAGCACTGAAGTTTTATTTATTTGTATTATCCCCCCTCCCCCCTTTTAATGGACTGGCACACTTTTTAAAAACATTTTTTTGCTTCTGCTACTTCTAAAACTAAGAACAGGATAACCATTGCTTTTTACAGCACTTTCATCCTAATGTGTTGAAATTGTACTTTTAGAGGCACAGATCATATGATATTTTATGATTCAATGTTATGAATCTACAACTTCAGATTCTCTTATAAGGCTGGTTCAGATATTTGGTATATGTAACCTACAGCCATTAGACCAGTTGCTTTTGGCTCTCCCTAGCTGTCATCAACCATTCCATCAGGTTTCAGAGCAGGGCTGTTCCATTTCCTATGGCTGCCTTTGGCACTCTCAGTATTAGCAGCCGCCATTCCATCCAGCTACCTGCACTGTTTTTTTCCAGCTGACAGTTATAACTACTTTTAGCTTTAGGAAGTGGTTTCTGAGCTTGCTTCCCGCCCCCTCCTCTCTCATGGCCTTTTTTCCTTATGTGTTGTGTCTCTTAAGTTGTAAGGCTGGCTTATTACTGATTTTGGTAAGCTGCTCTGGAAGCCTTTTTGGCTAGAGAACAGGGTAAAAAAAACCCAAAAACAAATCCCCACCCACTTCACGCCTTTGTTCCATTAGTATTCAGCCCACATTTTTATATGTGCCTTCTCAGAAACAAGCCCCACTGAGTTCACTGAAATTGAATTCATTGGTACCAATTGAGGAGTCATTGGTGGTTGCCTATAGCTGAAACTATTCTGTAGTCTATAAATATAATCAGTGCTTTTTTCTGGGGGGGACACAGTGGTACGCATGCCCCTAAACGTTTTGTGAATCTTTGTACTTTTGTCCATTTACTGTATTTATTTCCCCCAATTTGAACTATAAAATGGTGATTTTCTTGAGTCAAAATAAGAGTACACCTAAACATTTTTTTAAAGAAAAAAGCACTGAATATAATAGTTTCTGCATGTGTGCTGAGGGACATTTCAGTATTATCTACGGATTGTAACAAATGAAACCTATATACTCAGTTTGCTCACATCTAAAAGCTGCATCATTTTTTAGCGTTTTCTGTCACATATATATTAGTTTCAGTATTTGACGGAGAGGACCATTCAAAATCTTTTCTTCATCATTTAATTAACACCAAATGGTTTATAATCTGAGATGCAAAGCATACTTTTGCATGGGTGTTTTTATGATCTCTAACCACGGAGCAAGGAAGTGACTTGGGTCGGTGGACACACAAAGCCAATTGTGCCACAGGGATCCTATTTTTTTTGTCCAAAATTTATCCATATCCAATGGTCATTTTTACAAGCAGATTATACACAAAACTGGGCTCCAGAAGGATGATTTTGATCTAATCCCAGAGCTAAAATGGGTACTCCAAAAGCTGGCAGTGGCACTACAACCTCAGAAAGTATTAGTTCTCAAGTAATAAAAATCCATTATAACCCCTTGCCTACTCACCCCTTGTCCCTTGCAGGTACAGAAGGCAAGAAGGAGAAGAGGAGCAAAGGAAGTGGCAGTCTTTCATGCGACCTACTCAAAATCCTTGCCTAGTTTCAAGCAACACTTTTACTCTTTCTGTCGTAGGTCAAAAAACTTGTATTTTTCAAACAGAGAGCGAGAGAGCGTTGTGCACTGGTGAAGATGCCAACAACAGATCTCAGGTTTTTGGAACTTATAGTGGGCAGGGAGGTTAGAACTGAGAAGAGGAGACAACAGCACAGCCCAAATGCATCCCAAGAAGCGCAGTCCATTGAGATAGATTTCAGAGGCATGAAACTGAAAGTGCTCATGTGTGGACAAAGGTTGACAAATCTGACATGAGTGCCTGGCGTGCTCTGGTCCATGGGGTCATGAAGTGTCGGACACGACTAAACAACAACAAACCTCATTGAACCTAATGGAGCTTGCTTCGGATTAAACACATAGAGATGAGCTGTGCAGCGCCACGAAGTTAAAACGTGCACGTGTGTGTGTGTGTGTGTGTGTGTGAGAGAGAGAGAGAGAGAGAGAGAAGAGAGAGAGAGGGAGAGAGATAAATCAGCGTTAGCATTTATTGGCTTTGGAAAAGAGAGTGGGCAGGACTGGCAACTCTTTTTCTGCCTTACTTTGATGTGCGAACAAGGATCGAATTGCTAAGTGAAAAGAGGAGGAGGAAGGTTCTTTTCCTCGCCTTCCAGAGAGAGAGATTACAGCCCAATCCTCTGCAGGTTTACTCAAAAGTAACCCCTGCAGAGATCTACGTGGGGCTTACTCTCCCCACTAAGCATCCCCAGGGTCACGCCTCTTTCACACTGTCTAAATTCCCACCGGCTCCCACTACTAGCACTCCTTCTTTCCCCCCACTGTCGAAAGACGGGATGCAACGCCGCTTTGCGCCCACACATAATCATGGCCAAATGATGAGCGGCTCTCGAGTGTAACCGGAAGTTCTCCGCGCGCGTTACTCTACATTTCTATCTCTGTGGTATTGTTTGTCGTTGACGCAGCAGCAAATGCCTACTCGCCATTCTTATTAACTACAATTCCCAGAATGCTCCCCCCATTGGGTAAAGCGCACGCCCCGCCCCCGCCCCCACACCGGGAGAGTGCGAGGCTCAAGAGACTCGGTGCAATTGTCAAAATACTCTGGTTGCGAACTGAATGTGCTGGGAAGTCGATGTAAATAAACAGAGGATGCGCGGAACGGAGGCGAGGTGTTTAGAGCGGCTGCTCTTTGTTCTTGCCTCGCCGATGGCAGAGCTGAAATGGAAGGGCCACCATGGGGGGGGGGGGGGCTGCGCGCAAATGGCAGCTTACTATCGCGATTGGGGCGTTGCTCCGCTCTGCACCCGAGAATTAAGAAAAACTAGCCACTCAGTAATGGGACTCAACTGAACGTAGCCATCAGGGCTGGCCCGCCCTTGGACACAAGCCAAGGTGAGGCAACCGCCTCGGACAGCAGATTTGGCTTCCAACGAATACACTGCCTGTTGCAGCTATTTATTTCAATGGGAGAAACAGTAGGAGCCTGTTCACTCAACGTGCAGAAATCGAGAGGACTTGAAATTCGAATCCACTTGTTTCAAACCTTCGGGACACGGCCCGATTTACCCGGCCACCCAGTTTAAAATCAAGTTGGGTTTCTTTTGTGCGCTCCTGCCCCGCATATGGCGGTTCCGGAAGTGTGGAGCCAAGACTTTCTCGTACCCCTTTGGGCGAAAAACGCTTTCCGACGCTTCTGAGGGAGAGGCGCATGCCGGGAAAAAGCCGCGGCGGCGGCCTTGGCGCGGGGCACGCCGGGAGTATCACGGAAGGGAGGTTCGCGGCGGCGGCGCCGACGGAGGAAGCGGGAAGCGGCCGTCTGTCGTTGCCTTAGCGGCGCTTAGTCGGGCGCCGGGCGCCTGGGCTCACTCGGGTGCGGTGTCCTTGCCGCGGCCATGTACCATAGCAGCACGCAGCGGCGGCGCTGGACCTTCCGCAGCGAAGAGGAGCTGGTCCGGCGCCGGGCCGACGCCAACCGCAAGTTCCGGTGCAAAGCGGTGGCCAATAGGAAGGTAGGGCGCGGGCCTCCCAAACGCCGAGTCCTGCGTGTCATTTGTATTTGTTATTTTGTTGTTGTTTAGTCGTGTCCGACTCTCTGTGACCCCATGGACCAGAGCACGTAAGGCACTCCTGTCTTCCGCTGCCTCCTGCAGTTTGGTCAAACTCATGCTGATAGCTTCAAGAACACTGTCCAACCATCTCGTCCTCTGTCGTCCCCTTCTCTTTGTGCCCTCCATCTTTCCCAACATCAGGGTCTTTTCCAGGGAGTCTTCTCTTCTCATGAGGTGGCCAAAGTATTGGAGCCTCAGCTTCACGATCTGTCCTTCCGGTGAGCACTCAGGGCTGATTTCCTTCAGAATGGAGAGGTTTGATCTTCTTGCAGTCCATGGGACTCTCAAGAGTCTCCTCCAGCACCATAGTTCAAAAGCACCAATTCTTCGGCGATCAGCCTTCTTTATGGTCCAGCTCTCACTTCCATACATCACTACTGGGAAAACCATAGCTTTATCTATACGGACCTTTGTTGGCAAGTTGATGTGTCTGCTTTTTAAGATGCTGTCTAGGTTTGTCATTGCTTTTCTCCCAAGAAGCAGGTGTCTTTTAATTTCGTGGCTGCTGTCACCATCTGCAGTGATCATGGAGACCAAGAAAGTAAAATTTCTCACTGCCTCCATTTCTTTCCCTTCTGTTTGCCAGGAGGTGATGGGCCCAGTGGCCATGATCTTCGTTTTTTTTGGTGTTGAGCTTCAGACCATATTTTGCGCTCTCCTCTTTCACCCTCATTAAAAGGTTCTTTAATTCTGAGTGCAACTCGTAACCTTTGTATGTTGGTGGCGGCGGCTCTGATTAGAGCCGTGGTTCCCAACGTGGGGCACACGACCCACAGGGGGGCAATTTGATTTTTATGGGGGACAACTCGATAATGAGGTATGAACAGTTAATGGCCTTTTAGGCTTCCTCCCCTGAATAGGAGTTCACTTTTTGAATAATAAGAATTATATGTCACGGGGGCGGGGCGGCAATCAGGATTTGAAAGATGCTTAGGTGGGGCATGGCCCAAAAAAGGTTGGGAACCACTGGATTAGCGTTAAGATAATTTTTGTTCCCCCGCAAGGTTCAACAGACCGACCCGTTTCTTCTTGAGCCGCATGAAGAGTTGACCATTTGTAAATACTATGAAAAAAGGCTACTGGATTTCTGTTCTGTTTTCAAGCCAGCGATGCCTAGATCTGTGGTGGTGAGTTTCTAACATTCTCTTGGAGAAAGCAGTATTTGTTTTGTTTTTTAAGCTCTCTCTAATTTTGTAAAAATATTTATGAACAACACTTTTTAACCAGGCGTTTGGTTGATTTGATTGACATCCTATGCCCTTTTAAAATGTGGTTCTTTGGGGGGGGGGTATTTGTTTTTTAAAAATCATTAATATATATATATATATATATATATATATATGGTGGTTTTATATTTTAATTTTGTTCTGTAAACCACCCTGAGACCTCCGGGTATAGGGCGGTATATAAATTATTTTTACACACACACACACACACACTTCATTCTTCTCCACCCACTCCCCATTTCCCCCCTAAACTTTCCCCACCTACTGTGGGGCCATTCTTCCTGCATCTAAAGTCCCTGAACTGTTATTTGTCACCAAGTAATGTTTAACATTGTTTATTTACACTAGACACAGGGAAACACTCCCTCCAGATATTCTTGTATTGTAGTTCCCATCAGCCCCAGTCAGCATTGCCGCTGGTCAGGTATGATTGGAGTTGTAGTCCAGTAACATCTGAAGGACTGCATATTTCCCACCCTTCATTTATAATGCCCACGATGCCCATGCCTTCATAACTGAGCAATGCCTGTCTGCCTCTAGACACACATATTAAGGGGCAAATATGAGCATTGTAAGGAATTTTTTCACCTGGATCGCCACTGAGATGGTGCGAACAGGGAAAAACTTCCCTCAAGATTTCAATCATGTTACTGGGGTTGCCATATATACTTGCTATTCCTGGCCAGACTTGTGTGTTAGATAGAATGCCTGCAAGGGAGGCACTTTCAAAAACATCAGGTAGTGGGACCCAGCCTGCAAGGGACAGTGACACCTCCCTTGGAGTCTTGTTCTTGGATTCCTAAGAGTAGGAGAAGCAAGTGCCAGAACTGATAAGGGGAGCCGGTTGGATTAGCCCTTCCACTGCTGATAGATGCTCAAACACCCAACGTTTCTGTAGTAATATTCAGAATATTGTTGCAAATAGCTGGGAGAAGAATGCAGCAACTCTGCTTGCCACAGCAACAATTCAACTTTCCATTCCAACTTTGTTCCCATTGCAACAAAAGGAAATGCTACTACGCTTCCTGCAGCAAAAGCCCAGGGAGGCAGCATTGGAGAGGGGGATAGGGATCAGAAAAGCTGTCTTGTCATTCACTTGATCTCAACCGAAGGCCATGTTTCATTGCTGCCAGAATCCAGTGATGTGCACAAGCAAACAAAGTACCAACCCTGAATATTTGAAGAATGTAGCACATGTGAGGGCACTATAAAAGTTGTGGGCGTTATGACACTTGTGGAGACTTTCTCAGGAGTACTCTTCTTTTGAGTAGAAGAGGGGCAGGAACACTAATGCAAACGAGTTTTTTGGAAGGGAATTCTAGTGACTCTGTTCAAACTGCTCCTAATAGCATCTTGAGTTTTTATAGACATCAGGTAGATTAGTCAGCACCCAGTGGCCTTTGTGTCTTCTGCTGCTTATCCCCTGCTTCTGGCTCTTCTGAACTTGAATTTTCTGCTGCTTAAATACACATTGGGTCAACCTGTGCACTACTTTGTTTTTCAGTTGACTTGCCCAGCATATCTTGTATTTATTTGATCATGATGTGTTCTTTGTGGCAGCACAGAACCACAGCCATGCTATTTGCGTGAATGAACTTTCTGATTATAGTTTCCTTTTAGGGATCAGCTTGCATGTACTTCAAGCGTTTTTACCTCAATAACTCAGTGATGGAGTATCATCCTCGGATTATTATGTAAGTAATGGATACCCTTGTGGTTTAATTATTTTTCCCAAGCAGGAATTCTATTATTTTGTCTAAGGATATTGTTGCCTTCACCATTGTAAACTATGTTTCAACATTTCAGCCACTTAACATTTACAGTTGTCATGGACAGAAAAAATCCCATGAAAACAAGCTGAATCCTACAAAGTATTTTTCAATCCCAAAAATTTAGTTACTGCATCACATGAAAAAGCAGGACTGAAATCCACTCTGGGGTGCACTTGCAGAATTTACACAAAAGTAGAGCAGCAATGTTTTTCTCCTAGTTTATTATCATCTAAATGATAGTAAACAATGTCCCCAAACTGAATTTATCAAATGGGATGAATTTTTATTTTTATTTATATATTTTTTAGTTTAGTTTAGGTAAATGAATCAGGGCAAAAACAGTCTCACTTTTTTCATGCTAAAACTTGCACTGAGAAGCAGTTAAATGCCTTTCTTCTGACACATCACACATAGCTTTATTTGGGGACATTTGACCACACATTTTCCCCAAAGCTTTCTATGCCAGATTCTTTTATTAAAAAATAATGTATTGGGTTGGGGGGAAAAACTACAGGCTTTTCCAGCAATAAGTAATATGGGGAAGCAGACTAAAGTTCTCTTCTGACAGAACCCACATGGTTTTGTTTGAGACATTCTATTACCCCAGTATACAGTGCAGGTCAGCTCGAGGTAAAACAACTGCCCCATAAAACTGTCTCTGTCCACTTTTTTTCATTGGATATTTGCTGATAGTTTGCAAGTTCTAAAAGTTTTCTAAGGATTTGGGGCTGGATTTTATATTAGAGGGAGCTTTCTCTTGTGTCCTAGTATTTAGGCGAGGCTGTTCAAAATACTCCCTGTCTTCATATATAATGGTCTTACTTAGAACCAAATGTGTTTGCTGTTTGTTTTTAAGGTTAACATGTGCGTTCTTGGCATGTAAAGTGGACGAATTTAACGTGTCCAGTACACAGTTCGTGGGCAACCTTCGTGAAAGTGCAGTAGGACAGGAAAAGGCCCTGGAACAGATCTTGGAATATGAGCTGCTACTTATACAGCAGCTGAACTTCCACCTCATAGTGCACAACCCTTACAGACCATTTGAAGGCTTCTTGATCGATCTAAAGGTAATCATTTTGTTGCTTAACAAATGTACCTTAGATGGCAGTAACTATTGTAAAATGTTGAAGCATTAATAGTACCAAGCACTGTACTAGAGCAGATTAGTTCTTAAGTATCACAGCATGCCTGTTTGATGCTAAAATACTTGAGCTAGAAAAATGAACTCAGCAATTCTGCATATTTTCTAGACTCGTTACCCGTTGCTTGAGAATCCTGAGACACTGAGGAAGACTGCTGATGACTTTCTCAATCGGGTTGCTTTAACAGATGCCTGCCTTCTTTATACACCGTCTCAGATTGCTCTCACTGCCATCTTGTCCAGCGCATCGAGGGCAGGAATTAATATGGAAAGGTAGAGAATATTCCAAGCATTGGACATACAAATTAAGTTAGTAGGTTTTTGTGCTAACGCTGCACATCCTTCCAAAGCTGTATCTGTGGTGGTGTTAAGACTTTGCGTCAACATGGATTAAGAGTTTATTGTTCAAGAATTGTCCACACAGATTCAAACACTGGTGGCCAACCTGATCAGCTGCTTAACCTATAAATGTGTGGCGGAGAGAAGAAAAATAGCTCATTAAATCCTACCATTTCACTATTTAAATTACTATGTTGGGTCCCCCCCCTCAGCAATAAAAGTTGTATCAACTAAATCACTCTGTGGAATGATGCATTGCAGGGGTTTGGACTAGATGGTCCTTGGGGTCCCTTCCAACTCTATGATTCTATGTATGTGAGTATAGTGAAACGTTTCTTGTCTCTCCCCGCCCCCCGGTGCACCCACAAACCTGCTCTGGGGGTTCCCCCAACTCTGTCACACAGAGGGTGGTGCAGGGTGGGGGTAGAGGGGAACCTTCCCTGTCAATTGTGGAAGCCATTATCTGCACACAATGATTTAGTTGCATACAACCCTAAATCTTTTGTTCCTTCAACTTGTCATATGTCAGCTGCCTATAAAATGGTTACTTTTACAGCTTTTTAAAACATCTATCTTACACTATCAAAAGAAGCTCATGTTTCCAGACTACTACTTCATGTTAGAATACTACTGTTTTGCTTTCGGAAGGTTATCTTTGATTCCTGGAGGGGTGTGGGTTTTTTTGAGAATGAAAGAAATTGCTGTAGAGAATTCTAATCATTAATTTAACTTTAGCATTTTGACATTGGCTTTGTATTGTTACTCTTTATAATGTGTGCCAAGTTTTTGTTTTTTTAATATACTTTGAAAAATTCCTTCCCATCACCTAACATTTAGCTAAATGTCATTCTCTTTATGGGGTGTATGTTAATGTAAGTGTTCTTCATAGATGTTCACTTTTCTCTGCATCCAAACAGTGGTACTGAGATCTAATTTCCACAATCTTTTGACAGTTACTTGTCAGAATGCTTAATGCTGAAAGAGAACAAAGCTTCCCTCTCCCAGTTACTGGATGGGATGAAATGTAAGTAAAGATTCTGAGAATGAGGTACCATACACATATTTATTTTAAAGTATTCTTTAAAAGGATGGAAGAGGCTTGCAGAAGCCTTTATCCGTTTGAAAGATTTATTTTATTTTATTTACTTTTCTGAATAATTGGGACACATATTTAAACTTGTATCCAACTGTTAATAAAAAGGAACTTAAGTGGACATTCTTGTCCCTTCTACTCCCCTAGAAATTGTATAAAGTGATAGGAGAAAAGAAATATGGCTTAGTTCAGGGATGTGAACTAGTGACTCTCCATGTTGCTGGAATATGAGACTCATTATCCCTGAACAGTGACCATGCTGGTTGGGGCTAAATGTGAGTTGGAGTCCAAAAAAATACGGAGAGCCATTGTCTATTATTTTCTTAGCACAATTGTATCCCCTTTGCTTGTAAAACAGACTCTTAACTTCAAAGGAGGTTGCTGTAACCACCAATCAGCTGAGTGTTGGGTTACAGCAACATCCTTTGAAGACTCATTCCCATTGCCAATCAGCAATCTTCACTGTTTCATCCTTCTCCCTTGAGCCTCTAAAATCTGCTCTAGGGGGTTTGGGGATTCCCTAGAACAACTTGAGTGCTGGCACAGGGATGGGAGAATGTGCAAAAATTATCTCCATCCACATTCCATTTATGGAAGCCCCTCTGGATCAAAGAGCCTGTCTTGAATGGAGATAGTGATGGATGCCATTCAATGTCTTCTAGGTCAAATGAGACCAGAATTTTCAGCAAAGCAAGGGGAATGTTTCAAATGAAGAACAAAACTTGGTAGCTGTCTTTAGCATAAGCAAGTAAAAGGGGATATTTGATAACTTCTTCTGCCTTTGACGGTGTTCATAGCCTCTAACCTGTAGTCCAGGGCACATAAAAATGTGTATTCAGTCTTTCAGTAGACTGGTGCTTGCAAGACTGTCCTTGATACTGCTTTTATGCTTGCATCAAACACAACACAGCCTTCAGTTGATCTGTATTTTGAAGACTTGATATGCAAAATGTGCCTGCGTCTGAAGGTTTCCCTGGGACAGTAGTGCTAACACTGCATTATCCATTAGCCTCCAGGAAATAAAAAAAACAACCCATAATGTGAACAACTAGTTTAGTAGAGTTCTTTACTTCACACTTTTGCTGTGTCTTGACATTCCTTAGCATAAATCCTCTGATATAAGATGACAGCTAAGAGTCTTACAAATGTAATCTGAGCTTCTGTAAAGGGGAAAATAGTGTTATGTGGCAAATTTAAGCTAAGACTTTGTCTGTGGAACTTATTTCAAAGCAATCTGGAGCACATCTCAATTGTCTTTAACACTTGTTCTACAAGAGGCCTTGGTTTTCATAGAAAATCTGCAAAGTATTTTGCGCTGTAGTCTAGCTTCTTGAGAGCTGGGTGTACTTTTTGTTAGAATGCCCCCTCCCCAGACACACCTTCGCACAATTAATCCTGTGTGTTCATGGCCACAACTGGTCAAAATATAGTATAGCTTGGCTAAAGTGTTCCTCAGCTTCATGTACAACTCACAGCAATTAGATCATATTTAGACAGGCACACAACATTCCCTTACATACACACACAAAGCTTTATAGCCAGGTCTGTAGAATCAAAACTAGTTGGAATGTGCCATATCTAATTGGTTGGGTTTGAGTGGGAAGATGAGAGTGTGATAAGGCTACCTATATTACTAGAATTCTTTTGGATCTACTTTTGATAATGTACATATCTTATTGGGGTTCAGATGAATTGGTATATAGTACACTTAATTAAAGCATTTTGAAAGTGTTTTATTGCTCCTTTGTAGGCATGAAAAATCTGGTAAAGAAATATGAGCTACCGCATCCAGAAGGAGTTGCTCTTCTAAAACAGAAGTTAGAGAAATGTCACAGCCCAGAACTTGCTCTTAATACGAATGTGTAAGTAACAATTTAAAGCTACATCGTACCTCAGTGCTAGCTTTCCTAAAAATGATTATGACAGCATATATTCTATGAGGACCAATAAGCTAATTTTGAAAAGTTTGATTACCAGGAAATGCTGTGCAAATGTTATGATATGATCTTACTTTACCAGCGATTTGAAGCCAGGGTCTGTTCCAGTCATTGGTCAATAATTTCTTCTCAGACAAGTATTCACTTGGATTCAAAGAAATGTGGGTGAAAGGGGGGGAAGTAGCAATAGAAAAAATAAATAAAGCTGTTCCACAAGCTCTTTAGGAAGCTATCAGACAACTTCTTGCAATGTATTGGGGGCTGGATTGCAGTATAGTAGACTGCAAATAGCATATAAATTTCAGTTGAACAAAGTATTGAAAGCGTTTGTGCAAAGTCTTACATAAATAGAACTTCACTGGATTTGGCGTTATTCATGCAGCACTCTTCCACTGGATCTAGGTTAGCACATCTGTGAGTGGAAGAGCACCTGTTTGGATAATAGCTATAGCTATTGCCCATACCTGAAGTTCACTTCATCATAAGTTACAACATATATCCATGGGTGTGGAAAACAAATGTGAACCCACGAGGTCAGTGGGAAATGAAAGGGGGGAAGAGCCTGCAATGATTATGCTAAAGTTCAGTTGTATTCACTGTGTTTGTTTTCCATAACGTAAGCTTTAACGTAACTGTCACGAATGTGGCATACTGAACATTTTTCATCTGACCTCACTGTTGAGAATTTTATTCTACAGCATATGGATATATATGAAACAACTGAAGATAATCTGTTTAAGAGGCTGCCACACTTGGTTCTTGTAAAAGAGTGTTGTATCAATAGCTCTAAGGAGCCTCTAGTGCTGAATAGTCAGTTCACTTCAAATACCAATAAAAGGTTTCAATCGTTTATTTGATGTCATACCAATTTCTCCAATATAAAATATGAAGTTGAAGAAAAGATCTTATTGGAACTGGAACATACTGTCTAATATTAGTATTATGGGGTTGGTTTTAGAAAGAAGAGAAAAGGTTATGAAGATGAAGACTACGTAACAAAGAAACCTAAAATGGAGGAGGTTAGTGGATTTGTGTACTTTTGAGTAACTGGATAAATCTGTATATATTTGAGAACAGAAAACATAGTTCTATATGCAAATTTATGTGCAATTGTCACAACATGCATCTTCTTGGAAATCTGCTGCCTTAAAATAATGCCAATTAACAGGGAGCACACTTTAATCTATTTTAAAATTATTATGATAATCTAACCAATTAACTGGCAGAATCTTCTAGATGTACTTTTATTCCCCTTATCCACAGTTGGCCAAATTCAGTTACCTGCTTTGCTGGTTGCAGAAGTTCATAGGAATCGTAGTAAAGATTGTATCACTGACAGAGTTGATAAGTAGCCTTGGTGGTTCGTCAGTACTACTGTACTTCCTTGACCGCAACACAGCACTGTACTGATAGTGCTGTTTAAGACTTAGGATCTTATAAGATTTATTTGGTTCATGGGCACAATAAAGGGTGATGCAGAAATGTTTCACTAACCTCTAACCTGTCAAATGCAGTGATCAAGGTTTGTGGTAATTTGTGGAAGTCACTGCTTACATTACAGCAAACAGTATATTTTCATAGGATTGGGCTGGGTTTGTTTTTTTAAAAAGTACATAATCTTACATCATCTGCTATTCATACAACAGGCAGCTGAATGTTTCAGGAGTCACCAGATAACTCTAAACTAGGTTGCTACTTTCTTCTAAACATTGTTTATATTTGTTTTCTGCCTTACATCAAACAGGACCTTAATCCTCAATAAGGGCAAGCATAGAAGCTGAGATTGTATATTTGTAATTTTGCAGTTGTAAATTTTCCCATCAGCCATACCTGATTCATAGAAGATGTGCAAAAAAACAAAAAACAAAACCCACCCCAACAAGTTGAAAGATTGGATTTCCTTTTTCTTTCGTTTAGGATGAATGGACAGATGATGATTTCATAGACTGACTGGATGTCTCCACTGATGAAATCCTGAATACTTAAATGGAACTTTAATGCTTGAGAACATGTTGTACATTCCACTACTGCAGTGAAAAAGATATGACTAATGTAAATAAAGCAGTTATTTTACAGTGTGAGTGGAATATTTGAAATGGTATTGCTAAAAACTGTCACTGTTCTTTTGGATTTTAATTGGCTGTAACATGTTTTCTGGTAGCGTGTTTTGGATACCAGCCAAAAGCTTAAAAGCAATGTCAAAATATCTAAAATATAAGCACCACATATTCATAGGTATTACTTGAGATACATTGGAATTTTTTTGAAATGCACTAGTTTCTGATATTTGTGGTGATGAGGAAAACAAACTTTCAGGTGGCAATAGTTTATCCTTGGGGCTCAGCCTTTGGCAGAAAAGAACATCAGAGGACAGTAGAGTACTTGCTTCATGGGTTCCTCCTGCTAGTGTTGTTTTCGCATTGTATGCAACAGGCTTAACCCCTGAAGAGGCTTAGGTTAGGTTGGGGGATCTTATTCTAGCCTCTTCCTTTCCACACACACACACAAACACCTTTATCGTTCATACTTACAAGCACTGAGACTGGATCAGAACTGATCACTGACCAAACAAAAAATTGGAAAATACAGGCAAGACAAATTGTTTTCTAATCACCTAGAGGCACTGTATTTTTCTTCTTTGGAAATATCCAAATATTGAATCACTAGGCAGAAAAAGCAGCCAGATGTATGCTATAAAACTGTTTAATAATGCATGCATGCCTAATACAATGATCAATAAATTTACTGAGTTCAAATTATTTACTGTTGTAAACATTTTTTAAAAAGCATCATGATTTATCTGGATATACAGTCCTTGATGGAAAATTATTCAAAACAATGTGGCACATTAAAAAAAAAAAGCTGACAAAATCCAGTCTGCATATTCTTTCAGCACAACTCTAAACGAGAGAAATAGAATGGTATAAAAAGTGTACAGCAAAGATTTCCTATCAAACTCTGGAAGCTGTAAATACAAATTAAAGTGTTTGAACAGTCCTAATATAGTTGTAACCAATCAAATTACAGTAAGACGTGTGTTCTATCCAGTTATACTTTGCTGTCAAAACATTTCCTTGGCAGTTGACTCTAATTTTATCCAAAACAGCAAGACTTTGGCAATTGGAGGTGTTGAAATAACTTTAAAGTTCAAAGAGACAGTCACAGTATTTTCTTTGTGGAAGGTGATCTGTACACCAAGGCTCAGAGGTTGTGAAAATTGGTTCCAAGTGGAAGAAAGTGCAAGTGTCCTGCACACATAGCTTAAAGCTGTTGTTATGGTCAGTCACCAACAGGTTCTTTGTTTTGTTTTTTGCATAGTTCACACATCACTGGAAATGTGAAATGTGTGTGCTATTTTTGGCAAGAGCAAAAAAGGAAGTGATATTGGTGAAAGTTGTCATGTTGGACATGCTGGAACATGCAGAAAGCTGCTACCTGATGCTGTTAGACACTGAATACTGATTTTGCTTTTGTTGAAGAAGTTCTGTAATTGCCAGCAGCTTCTTTAGCACATGCTGTTTTAAAAAAGGAGATAATTAGCTCAGCGGCAAAGTTTTTCTGTATGATTTAAAATAACTATACTTGTTCCCGATTGGTTCATAGCTTTTCTTGAAATGTAAACTTATTTTATTTCCCCCCTTTGTCCTTAGGATTTCCTTTCCATAGATGCAATTCATAAGTCCTGTAGCCCAGCTGAATAGCTAAATACGTTAATAGTTATAGTTACTGAATAGTAAATATGTTAATTTTACCATGCTGGAATTGACTCTACAGCTTTTAATGAATCCAAGGAAAACAAATTACTGTTTGCTATTATGTAAATATTTAAATAAGTAGGTCAGGCAGCGTAACTTATGCATAAATAATAATTGGAATAATTGCACTCAAAATGCACCACCACTGCAAATACTTTTCTACTAAACTGTTTCAAAGTAGCTCCTTCATGTCTACCACTTTGATTGCATCCTTAACATGCATTCACACTTTGTGAACTGCAGCCCTATATTTTAGTGTTTATAAGTCCTCGGCCCTCTACATCAGGCACCCCCAACCTGCGGCCCTCCAGATGTTTTTGGCCTACAACTCCCATGATCCCTAGCTAACAGGACCAATAGGGATGATGGGAATTGTAGTCCAAAACATCTGGAGGGCCGAAGGTTGGGGATGCCTGCTCTAGATAATGTTGGACTCCATGAGCCCCAGTCTGCATGGCCAATAGTCAAGAGATGATGGGAGCTATAATCCAGCAGCATAGGGAAGGCTATAGGTTAAACCAACGCTGCTGTAACTATCAGGAAACACCCTCTTTCTATAACAGCTCTTACCTGCATTGCCCCTCGCTCATTACTGAGTGTTCGAAGCTCATCTGAATGTGCCACACAAATTTCATGGAGGGCTGCTAGATCACGTGACAAGTCAGTTCTAGAGGGCTCTGTAGTGTCTGGAAGTTCAGGTACATTCTAGAGCAAGAATGATAACAATGTTTAGAACCACCTTTCATAAAACAGTACCACGGTAGCTGAAAAAAACTTACACTGTTTACCATTCAGAGAAGGAGTGCAGCCACTACTCTGCTTGCAGGGAATATAACACCTAAAGAGCAAAGGGAATGCTTGTTTCGAATACACAAGTAGTCCATAGGTGAAAATTAAACTGAACTTTGCAAGCCCTGCATGATGCGTTGACAATTACCACCTGACATCTCCATGGCCCCACCCACCTGTCAGCTTTGGCTTGCAAGGGATAGGGGAGTATGTATGCAATTTCCAGTAAAGCAGGGGTATAGCTTCTTAAGCATAGAGAGAAGTGAGGCCCAGCTATGCTTACGTAGAGAAATGAACTAGTTTTTGGTTAGCTATTATAGCTCAGTGGCAAGGATGAGCAACACCCAGGCTTGGTTGGACTACAGTTTCTATCAACCCCAGCCAGCATGGCTAATGAGCAGGGTTGAAGGGAGCTGCAGCCAAGCAACATCTGGCAGGTTACAGGTACTCCAGATGTTTATCCTTGACAAACATTGGAGAAAGGAGTGGAGCCATACTTCCAGTCTCTGCTCTGAGATCTTTGTGCAGGCCATTCTCTCAGTCCTGCCACCATCATAGGCACACATGGGAAGCCCTTCTCAGTGGCTGCTCCTAGACTTTGGAACTCCCTTCCTAGAGAGATACCTTCCACCAGCAGGTAAAGACTGTTTTATCTGTTTCTCAAAGAAAGGGCTTTTTAATAGTGCTGTGCTAATTATCTGTATTTTAATAGATTTGTTTTTTATATTGTTTCAATTTTATTAGAGTATAATTATTTTTTATACTGATTATCTGTCTTGCTTTACAGTATTTGTGGAAGCCACCTTAAATCCTGATCCAGAAATGGTTGAGATATGGTTCCCAAAGCCCTCTTTTTAACAGGGTCCTCCCCCTGTATTTTCTGAAGCAGATACTTACAGTCTCTATATTTACAAAATTAAGAAAGAAGAAGTGTTCTTACCCCAAGTTCATCTAAAAACATGATCATCTGGTGCTTGTTACTCTTGATAAAAGGATTTACACCTTCCATATATGGCTCCTAAAATAAAACCACAAAATTTGTATCACTTTCATCCTACATGTGATGGCTTCTGAATTATTCTTAATGTATTTTACACCACTTTCCACAATGCTCAAGTTGGTGTATGCTAAAACACAAATATAATTTAGACACCATGGAAAACCATAATAAAAAGCATCACATAAGATAAAGCTGCTACAGAAAATTTAAATCCTTTTAAAGATCTGACAAAGCAGGATGTTTTAAAAGCTTTTATAAACTGATAACAATGTTGCTATCTTCCTAACCCTGGGGTAGCCAGCATGGAGTGCCCTACAGATCATTGACCATGTTGACTGAGGCTGGTGGAAGTTACAGTCCAATAGTATATGGAGAAAACCACACTGGCTACCCCAGTCCTAACCTTTTTTAGGAGGAGGTTCCAAAGTTTTGAGATGATAGCAGAAAGGACCCTAACCATGGCATCACCTTAAAAATCTGTCATGGAGGAAAAGCAGACAAGAAAAGCCAGTCTGCCCCTACTGGTGAGTCGTTTCAATTGAGGAGAAATGGGGCTTAAGGTAGAAAGACTTCAGGCTGTGCAAGGCCTTCAAGGTTAAAAATCAGGATTTGAAATTGGGCATGGAAGCAAACTGGCAATTAGTTTATTTGTATTTGTAACTGTATTTGCACTAGCTGCACTATGTTACTGCTGACCAAGGCAATTCTGCACCTACTTCCATGTCATCTTCAAGTAAAGCCCATTGAAGAGTATATTCCAACAGTCAAGCCTGGATGTTACTGCTGAACTATTGCACAATTGTCACCCTAACACGTTATTTCCATAATCTCGATGGCTGTGGCTTTTCTCTGACCAGTCAGGATGAAGAAGAGCAACCACATACAGAAAGAACAAAAACTGATATTTAAACGAGCTGTGGTAGCCTCTCTCAAACACCTTGCTAAGAATGGAGATAACTTGAGAGTTTTAAATGCTCTTTCCAAATGCTGCTCTCTGTACCGACAATATTATGTACTATATACAGTGCTGACTCTACTGTCCGTTTGTATTGAAAGGGAGCCTATTCTATGTGAACAAATACTAAGAACAAATACTCCCATACTAAGTCAGTCAATGGTTTACTTAGTCCAGTCCTGTTAACTCCAACTAACAGTGACTCTACAGGGTCTCAAGCCGTCTCTTTCCTGCCTAGCTACCAAAGATCCTTTTCAGTGGTAATGCCAAGGAGTGAATTTAGGATCTCTTGTGTGCACTCTGCTACGGAGCTATGACCCCTCCTGTCATTCCAGACTCATACTGACTTGTACAGGCAGAGGGGGGCATGATTACACACGTTCTTTCACTGAGAGCAAAGAACACGTGTGTGTGGGGGGAGGGGAATTAACTTCTAAGATTTATATTTACCTTAGCTCCAAACTCAACTAAATTTGCCAAATTCTGCACAGACTTGGCGACCAGCGTCAGTGTTCTTGCAGCAGTGGGAGAAGGAGAATCTGAGATAAACAATTTGAAAATCACAATTGATGCCAACTGAGATTATAGTCTAGTACAGCAGTTGATAACCAGACTCACTGGCAGGACAATGAAGTGCAAAATACAGATGTAAGCAGCTAAAGCACTTCCTCTCTCCCTCCTAAGGCCAATTCAAGCTCCTCACCACAACCTCAAGTGATGCACTCATAGCTGATTAAGCACAGTCCCCAAACCAGAGCACTTCCTCTTCTAAAAGAGACAAAGATAATAGGGAGCATTATTCCCCATGCTCGAGGGGGTTTAGATGAAGAGGGAGGGGTATCATTCTGCCCAACCCTGCCCAGATCTGTTGGTCTCCACCAGTGGGGGAGCAGCAGGGAATTAAAAGTTCCAGTTGCTGTAAACAAGGGACTCAGGAAGGTTCAAAGTAGTGGTTTAAAGTTGATAGCTGATAGTTCATATGCAGACCAACCCACCACAAAATATTTAATACAAGCCCGTTATCTTTCCCCACCCTTCCAATGGTTAGAGTCATGCCACATTAGCAGTGCTTCTTTCTATACCAGAAGTGGGCAACCTGTGGCTTGGATGCAACTCTCTGTCAGTGTGGCCCTGTTTATCGTCTTGCTGCTATTGGGGGAAAGAATGGTTGTCAGGCACAGGGTGGACCTCTGGAACTCCTCAATAGTTCTGTACCCTCACATGTGAAATAATGCCTGTCTGCCATTTTTTCCTTCAGTGGCAGCAGGACCAACCGTGGCAGCTGCAGAAGGAAGGGATGCGTTCAGTGAAGAGAGGATGGCAGCAGTGGAGGGGGCTGGCAAGGGAAATGTGTGTGTGCATGTGCAGGAAAGGTAATGAGTGGATGATGGTTGAATGAAGGGAGTTAGTAGGGGCCCCAAAGGAAATTTAGCAAGCAAGCTGGCTGGGGGAAGCAATTTCTGCCTGTGTGAATGTGCACCCTTGCCCACTTTGAGCTTTGATGGCCCACCACCATTATGCAGCCCTAAACCCCTTTCCTCTGCAGCCCTCAACCTCAAAAAGGCTACTCATCCCAGTTCTATACTAAGCAGCCAGAATTTATTCTCTCTGCAGCGTATAAAGAACTAAATGCAGACAACTTGCTGTCTTAACATTATAGATGATTTTATCAGTATCTAAAGAACTTACCTGAGATGATATTAAACATCCTTGGATTCAGAATGGCAGGGCAGATCAGCCGAAGGAAAACAAAACCACTGAAAGAGGGAAGCAAGAGCATGTCTTGAGTTGATACTTGATCACAAACATCACTAAAATGTTTTTGAAAATACTGCTAAGGATACCAATGATTAATAAGAACTCTATTCGAAACTCATGGTTGTCTTTTCTCATATGGTGGCTCATGGCAATTCCAATCCAAAATATTAAGAGAAATAGAGGACTTTTTTCACCACAGCCCTGTACTTGGTATGCAGTAAAATTCTCTACTACAGTACTTGGCAGGATAATACAAAAGTCCAAAAAGATGTTCAATAGGGAAGATCTTTCACACTATCGCCTTGCCAAGGTAACAAATTATCAAGTGTGCATGGATAGTAAAATTGTAATTTGTATCCACTTAGACAGCCAGTTTACTAAATAGCTACAAGCACTCATGGTAATTTACCACTTTCCAGAGTCTTGTGGAGTAAGTAGATAGAACCTGCCCAATTTAATAACCTCCAATATGAATCTTCATGGTCTTAAGGACTTTAGATTCCATCAGGGTAGAGTCTTTTTTGTTTTTGCTGCTCCCAGATGCAATGTAACTCCTTTACAAGGGAAGCTTGTACCACTTTCTCCTTGTTGGTATTTTGAAGGCAAGGGCATTTAATTATTTTTTTTAATGATCTCTGAGAACCAACTGCTGAATTCTTTTCTTTACACTGGTTTGCAAGCACTGCTTGTCTTGCTGGCTTGTAGTATTACATACTGCTTATTGCTGCTGTGTTTCTTTTTAGGTTTGGTGTGGTATTTATGAGCAACAGTATGTCTCTAGCAGTAACTACTAAACAACAATTTTCTAAACATAGTTGTGAGATGCTGAAATCAGCTTTGAAAATATGTCACCACTCTGCAGCATAACGTTCTGAGCTGCACCATCTGAAGAAAAACAACAGTAAAGAAGAGAACACCTTACCTAACCACTCTTGTTCTCATGGTTGTATTGGCTGGCCACTTGTTTTGAACAGACTTCTGTAAACAGCCATAAATATACCTCAATGTCCTGTCAAAATAATGCAATTAAGAACCTTAGCATATCAAATTACTTTAGATTACAATACTAAACTGTGCATTTACAGTTATGGTTCCCCATTTGTGGAATGCCTTAAAATTGGGTTACACACTGAAAATCGCTGTGGTTGGTAGAATTGTGACTCTCAGTCAATTTAAGCCTTTGATCTTGCAAGCCTGCAAAAGTTACCATAAAATTGCTAAAATAGCAAATCGCTATTCAATTTCTACAATTCTGCAGGCACTCACACCTGTAAATGGCAAATGAGCAGTCTCAAGCTCGTAAATCAGCAACAAAACATTTGTTGTTGTTCTGTTTTACCGTATGTCTGTTTCAGCAGTGATATTGCAAAAGCCAATTCTTGTAAGGTTGCAAATTTAAGCCACACTTTTAACTTTTCAGTCGGAATTTGGAAAAAAAGTGAGGCTTATATTCAGGCCAATACGGTAATATGAAGATTTTGGCCAAACAATAAAACTTTTTAAAAGCAGTTTTATCACAACAAAGGATGGTATAGGACTGAAATGGGAAGTTCTAAAGAGGCTTTAAAAAAAATGTTGGTGAACTTACGGAGGCAATATTTCTGCAGCCATGAATATTTTCTCCACCAGCTCCGAAAGGATACTCAGCAGATGTGCTAAATTAGTATTTACATCTTCATTTTTTTCTAACTTTGAAGGATTTAACTGAAATGTAGAGCCGTAAGACATAAATGAAATATATATTCCAAAGATAACCAGCAAAGTTTACTCAACATAAAAACAAACAAACTTCTTTAAAAAGTTAGACTGATTGGTGGCATCTAGGACTCCTAGCTTCAGCAGCCACCACACAGGTTGTACCTTATTTTTCGTCCCATAGGACGCTCTGTCCCACAGGACGCACCTAGTTTTTTGGGGGGGAAATAAAGGAAAAAAAATTCCCTTTATTTCCCCCCCAAAACCAGGTCGGGGAAACCAAACCAGGTCGAGGAACAGCGGGATGGCGGCGCTGCGCCTCCTTGCTGTCCCCCGAGCTTGTGGGGCTGGCCGATGTCTGTCCGGCGTGCGGGGCGCTCTGCTTCAGGGCGCCCCTCGCGCCGGGCGGCAGGCTGCTATCCGCAGCGTGGGGAGCCCTGCGGGGAACTCCCGCAGGGCTCCAACACGCTGCGGATGTCTGCCCGGCACGAGGGGCGCTCTGCTTCAGGGTGCCCCTTGCGCCAGGCTGCTATCCGCAGCGTAGGGAGCCCTGTGGGAACTCCCGCAGGGCTGCCTAGGCTGCGGATGTGTTCCTGAAGCGCCGGGCGCTCTGCTTTCAGGGCGCCCGACGCTCTGGGAAGCAGGCTGCTATCCGCAGCCTAGACAGCCCTGCGGGACCAGGGCTGCGTAGGCTGCGGATGTGTTCCTGAAGCTTGGAGAGCGAGAGGGGTCAGTGCACACCGACCCCTTTCGCTCTCCAAGCTTCAGCGAAAGCCTGCATTCACCCCATAGGACGCACCCAGATTTCCCCTTCATTTTTGGAGGGGAAAAAGTGTGTCCTATAGGGCGAAAAATACGGCAGATCGCAAGGAATATCTTTGATATCACCTCAAAGCCTCAAGTAGCAGGCCTGTTATTTGCAAGATACTTGAAATGCTGACAAAAGATAAAACCATCATTGACTACACGGTTCAAAGGCAAAATATAGAAATTGCTAGATGTGCAATGGGAAGTCAGGTTTAAAACCACTCTCAGCCACAAAGCTTACTGCACAGCCTTGGGTGATTCAGCAGTCCACGCTGCACATGATGCTAAACAACATTTTAGTCTGATATGCAAGAGCAGGAACAAGTTGCAGTGAATGCAGGGCTCACATGCCGTTCCCATGGCAAGGCAGAGGAGTGCAGAAGCTTCTGCTTCCACTTTTAGTTAACCATAGCGTGCCACGTTCTCAGGACCTCGAAATGCAGCTGATACTAGATCCAGCCAGTTTAAATACGCCAGCTTCAAAGCATGGTTTCTGAAGATCTGTTTTAAAATTACCATCATGACAAACTGCAGTTAGCAAAACCTCATTCCAGCTGTGTGGGAGGAAAAAGGGTAGTATGCAACCTGAGACTTGTTGCAACTCATCCTTCTCCGTGTTTATCATATTAAACAGTGGTTTGGTGTGACCTGCAAATGCCTGACCTACATCACAAGGTTTCTCTGTGGCTAAAATGTTGCTCTAAGCATTCTGGAGGGACCCAAGTTATACCTATTTTTCAAACATTTCAAACATTTCTAAACTGTTTGTGGTTTAGTTCATTAGTCATAACTTCTTACCTCACAAGACTGCTTGCTCTCCATTATCTTTAAAATAGAGTCCTTTAGTGCATGGTGAACAAAACGCGTGGCTGTAGCTTTCATATACTGCTCCATAAGTGTACTTGCCAGTGTGGTGGCACGGAATAAGGTAGTGGCTTCATCTGAACAAACAAACAAAAACCCACCAGATATAAATATTAAATTTTCAGCTCTGTTGAATTTAAATGAGGAAATGAGATTATTGAGAAGCAAATGCCTGTGGATAGTGGAAATGAAGGAGGGGAATGGCCTGAAAAATTATTTTCAGTAGCATACTTATACTGTACCTTCCACACATATTTCCCTGTCATTTAGTGTTCGCAACAATAATGCCTCCAGTTTTTCATGAAGAAAAATCTTCAGTAAAATGCTAGCAAGCAGTGTTCGATCCTGTCCACATACGATTGATAAAGCGTAGACCACATGCAGCTCTTTTTGCAGGACCAACTGAAAAACAGAGATGGCGAAGTACTAAGTAAACAGTAACTATGAACTTACTCCAAGAGTGTACCACAAAATAAAGAGTGTAATTATTTCCTGAAATAAATAAATTCTCCTTTCAAAGGCTATGTAATTTATGAGGGGCCCAAATCTACCTCGAACACCGTCTGGGCAAGCTATAAAAGAGCATATATTCTTTGGAAGAACCACCCTTGCCTTCAGGCGCTGACAGGCAACTTTTAAAGTGTTTTAATATTTATTTCAAGCCACTTTCAAATTAAAATGCAGGGTCTCAATACCTCCTTAAATTCACTGTACTCTTCTTCTGGCATTATTTTCTCCATAGAATATCGTGCACGGACACGCAGAGAGCCTGGTTCAATACCTTTCAGAGGTATGTGTGAACTGAGCTGAAACCATTCATCTGTTGCCTGCCCTTTCTGTAGTCGGCTCAGCTGGCATCGCATGAACACTTGAAAGAAATATCCAGAGAGAAGTTAGTCTTTGGGGAGAATGGCATATATGAGAGTATAAGCCAAAATGAGCTTATAAAATCCACTGGATCTAAAGATTTTTTTTTTTAAAAAAACAACAACTCTCATGCTGTAAGTTCTCTCAGAATAATAAGAAGAAATGAATTGCTATTATAATTTTCATATATAAAAAGGAGCACCAGGAAGATAGTATTCACTTTCTCCTGTTTCTTAGAACACAGAATTCTCCAACAAAAGCCATTAGAATTTTAAAAAGTTTCTAAACTACATTACATTAATTAAAGTGAGAAGAAAAAGATAACAAATGATAGTACATCAGGCAAATCAATGATACAGAAAATACAGAAATAGCTAAATGGGTAATTCTGTCAGTTATTTATACTAATGAGAAACCTTAAGGGTTCTTGAGCACCCCATCCAATATTTTATTGCATACTTGGGCCTTCTTTGACCATGCTGGATAGAAGGGCAGTGCAAGTAAACTGCAGATAGTGAACCACCCTCAAATGAAAGAATTCAGTACATGCTTAGAAGGTTAAGGGAAGTGCCCTTAAAAACACACATAAGTTTACAGCAGTGAAAAGCTGTCATGTTCCAACAATTTGGATAGGAAAGAGATACAAACAATGACTGTTTCAACAAGTGGGATAAATATGTAAAAGAGAAATACGCTTGCACTACAACTGTAAAAACTTTTTTCAAAAATAACAAAACTTACATATATCTGGATCTTTACTCTTCTTTGTTTTGTTACTAAGAGTTATTTCAAATCTATTGATGTCAGATGAAAGATCGCTAGGAAAAAATACAGAAAAATACCATTCACATTTGTACTCCTGCTTTGACATTCTAAATTAAAATAATGATATTTTATTTAGATTTAATTTCATTATATAAAGCTACAACCAAAGGCCAGCCATTTGGTTTTCTACTGTACGATTACACATTTGTGACAAAATACCGTATTTTTCGCTCCATAGGGCGCACCTCGTTTTTAGAGGAGGAAAACACACCAAAAAATATTCTGAATCAAATGTTGCACTAAACTATTTAAAGCAGCAAAGCGGGCGGCTCCTGTCCGCTTTGCTGCTTTAAATCGAGCCTCAGAGGAGGGTAGGAAGGGGAACCATGGCTTATCTAAGTCCAGTCAATAATGCTGAGCCTGACTTATAGCCATCAAGATTAGCCTGGCCGTCTCAGTGGAAATCTGGGGAGGCTGAGGTGGACTTTCCAGTGGTCAAAGTGTGGTTGTGTCTTCCTGCCCGGCATCTATTTCCTGCCCTCTTTCCCCCCTGCTTTGAGGAAAGGAAGCGGAGCCATGGATCCTCTGCTCGCAACTGCAGTGGATTCCCTCCACTTTGAAGCAGCAAAGTGGGAGAGGAGCTGCTTACACGAGTGTAAGCTGCTCCCCTCCCGCTTTGCTGCTTCAAAGGGAGCCTGGGAGGAGGGAATCCACTGCCTTCGCTAGCAGAGGATCCATGTCCCCTTCCTTCCCTCCTCCGTGGTTGCTTTGAAGCAGGAAAGTGGGAGAGGAGCTGCTAACACAAGTGTATGCTGCTCCCCTCCCACTTTGCTGCTTCAAAGGGAGCCGGGGAGGAGGGAATCCGCTGCAGCTTCCCCCACCTCCCGCTAAACTGGCAGAAGCCGCCAGCTCTTTAAAGGGGCTGAGCAGCTTCTCCTGGTTTTTCTGGGAGGTGGGGGGGATTCCCCCACCTCCCGCAAAACCGGCAGAAGCCGCAAGCTCTTTAAAGGGGCTGCGCGGCTTCTCCTGGCTTTTCTGGGAGGTGGGAGAAGGGACTGATGCAGCCAGTCAGTCCCTTCTCCCCCCTGGGGAAAAGCCCGCAAGAGCGCACGGAGCTTGTGTGCTGCTCTTGGGGGCTTTTCCCGCCTGCCTCCCCCCTGCATTCGCTCCAAAGGATGCACACACATTTCCCTTTGCTTTTTAGGAGGGGAAAAGTGTGTCCTATGGTGCAAAAAATACGGTAAGTCATTCAAAATATTCAGTTACTGTTGCCAAAAGCAAAGAAAATAAAATTATATTACACCGTCACCAAGAAGGACTTTAGAATTTTTCGTTTTAAATGCAACAAAGTTAAGTAGCAGAAGACTTACTCAAACACAAATTCTTCTGACCACACAGGGTTCTGTCCTTCTCGTACATGCGTTTTTGCTACCTGTACACTATTCAGGTAGATATTACAGTAAGGATTAGTAAAATGTTTTGCTGGAAGTGTATGGGCTTCTTCAACATGTAGTATAAGACTGCTGACCTAGAGAAAGTATACAAAATGGAATTCAAAACTTTGTTTTACGTAGTGAGACCATGCCCAGAAGTAAATAGGTGTGGGTACTTATTTAAGTGAGAAACGCAAACCACTGGATGAAGTTAAATAAAAAGTGATTAAAGAACTAATTAGTATAGGAGGGCTTTGAATTTAAATTCTCTTTACTATCAAATTCCTTGCTTCTATATAAGGAAGGCAGAATAGCATCCACTATTTTAATACCACCAATACAAAAACAGTCCATGAACCTGTGACCAAAGTCACCTGTGCAGTTACACATAATGGTTCTGCACCTACATACAGTTTTTTGGATAACTTATTGAAGGTACATGGTACATGGTGGGAAGGCAAGCTTGGCCCACCCATGAAGCAGGGTGAAGCAGCCACCTCAGATAGCGGAAGCCCCCAAGAAAGTGCCTCTACAGGAGCTCCCCTCCCCCCTGCCCCCGGTGCTGATTTCTGGTGAGATCTCATGAAGCATGAGAGGTCTCATGAGATTTTGATGAAATCTCACCAGCAATCAGCACTGATACTGGCTCCACTTCTCTGCCAGTAGTGCAGTGGGTAGTGCCAGCAAGAAGCAGTGCCACTGGACGTGGGTGGTGTGACAGCGGCAAGCCATTTCCTGTTTCACCTCCTGCAGCAAAATGAAATGCACCATCCCTGCAAAATGCCAAACTATGCTGAACCGAAAGGAGGCGGCCCTATATGGGAAAAGGAAAGTAACTACTAAGCTTGCTGTGAAGGGACAAACTTTCACAGTGTTTTCTGAGTGGCTGGTATTAGATTCAGTGAATAGCTCTATTGCTTTGGGCCCTACAGAACTACTAACTGAAGCTGTATGGTACACTTAATGTTAAAAGTGGTAAAACTATAAGCTCATTTTGGGCAAAAAATAAAAATAAAGTAACATTATTTTATAGCATATTTAACAAAGTAATATTTTTATCAAAGAATGTTTGATTACTAGTACGTATCATCTCAGCCAACATAGAAAACAAATCCCACAATAGCCAAAATGCATTACTCTACCTGACGTAGACGTTTATTCGATGTTCCTGGACTAGTTTTTCGTAAATTGCAAAATGTTTGCAAAGCTTTCATCCAGTCCTAATAAATAATAAACTAACTTATCAATACTGTTTCGGCTAATGAAATAGCAGTTATTAAACAATTATTAAACAAGTTTGACCCAGTTTACTTAAAAAAACCCCACCCACATTCATTTTCATTCTTCTCTATGTATCTCCTCTCCCCGCTCCCCCAGTCATCAGTCATTAGAATCATGATCTACCAATAAACACAATCTGAGTTAATAGTTAAAAGCTATTTCATTGAATATCCTGACTAAAAGCACAAAAGAGTAATTTGGGCTTATTAACAGATGAATCATAGAGTGATTCTGTTCCTGAGTCAGTGATTCGAGCACAGTTCAAGCAGCCTTTGTTCTCATTTATGCTGCCAATACCAAAGTGGCCTATGCAAGTTGTCCTATGTGTGATGATTGCCCCCAACTCTTGGCATTGAAATCTCCCAGCAGGAATAGGTGTTCGCAGGCTGAGACCCTCCCGACAACCTGGTCTAGTTCCTCGCAGAACTGGTCCTTGGTCTGTATGTCAGAGCCCATAGTGGATGCTCAAGATGTTAACCGGACCACAGATGGTTGAGAGGAGGAGGGAAAGCAAGCATTCTGAGCCTTTGATCCATGAACACATGGTTCTTCTGGATGCCATCTTTGTAAGAAAACAGTGTAACTCTTCTCTTGGATCTTGCCACTCAAAGCGAGTCTGGTATCCTATACAGCAGCAGCTCTGTTGAGCATTTTCAGCTAATGGTCAATGATGACTGTCTTCTGTGAGTTGTTGACCCGCAGCAGGTCACTGAACAAGCCAGGACAAATGGTCCTGATATTCTAGGTTTCTAGGCACTAGAGGGTTTGTTTCTTTTCCTTTTTGCTTGGTGCAGTAGTTTGGTCCGAGTGATACTCTAAGTTCCAAGCACCCATTGAAGCAGACAGACTGTGGCGGATCAGCATTTTATTGACCAGGGGCTGTCAAACTTAAGGTGGGCGGTAGCTGACCAGTAAGTATGGAGACAGAAAACTATCATGGTGCAGCTTTCAGTTGCATTTCATGGCTTTCCATTGAAATCTTGGAATTGTACTTTTCGGTGAGAGCACCCTAGCACACTACAAAGGTTCAGGATTCCCAGGGGGAAAGTAGTAGCAAATCAGTTTAATCAATGGGACCACAACTTCAAAGAATTTTACTTATGCAATTGCAGCTTTATGCAGATTGTCAATAGATAAATAATTGGAAAGGGGGCAGGAAAGCCTTGTTCTGGAGGCTCTTGTGAGATCTTGTGGGAACCTCCCAGAGCCCGGTAAGCAAGGCAGAGAGCTTGAAAGCTCTTTCCACTTTAATTTTCCTGGTGTGGGAAGTTTTTAATCCCTCTGCCTTGCTTACCGGGGTCTGTGATGGCCATACATGGGGTCTGGAGGCCTTCACAATATCTTTTTTTTTTTTTTTTAATAATTTTTATTAAAGTTTTAAACAAAGAAAAAAGAAAAAGCAACACACACAAAAAAACAATTAACAATAGAAACACACAACATAACAATTTAAAACAAACTCTCTTTTACATTCCCAATTTTGAATTACTTATTTTCTGGACTTCCTCATACCTCCCTCTTTTGTATTCCAATCTACATTATTTGTCCAGCAGTTTCTTTTCCACTTTTTAAACCCAATCTTTAATTTAATGAAATATTAAACTATATAGCTTCAATTTTTTTAAACATAATCCTTGTTCTTAATGTCATATACCTTTAAATTTTTCCCTTTATTATCAAATTTCCATTTCTTTAAACATCTTTAATCTTAATCTTTAATCTTAATCTATCTTTAGCTTTAACCTGTACAGCTGGAAACCACTTATTTTCAATCCAACATCACTCTAACATTCCTTAATTTTGCAGTGTTTCTGAAGATAGTCTTTGAATTTCTTCCAATCTTCCTCCATCGACTCTTCTCCCTGGTCACGGATTCTACCAGTCATTTCCGCCAATTCCATGTAGTCCATAAGTTTCATCTGCCATTCCTCCAGCGTGGGAAGTTCTTGTGTCTTCCAATACTTTGCGATGAGTATTCTTGCTGCTGTTGTTGCATACATAAAGAAAGTTCTATCCTTTTTTAACACCATTTGGCCCACTATGGGCATAGTGGGAGGCCTTCACAATATCTTGAGGGAGCCTCCTAGAGACTGGTAAGCAAGGTGAAAGGCATAAAAGCTCTTCCTCCACCTTGCTTATTTATGAGGCTTTGGAAGGCTTCCAGAAGATTTTGTGAGATTTCATACAGTCCCGATCTTGGAAGGTGGGGGCGGTTCTGGGGGTTGCTCTGACTTTGCATGTGCAACCCCCACAAAGTTAGCCACTGCGTAAGCTGCAGTCCTAACACAGTGAACACAGCGATTCCAAACATGCTGCAGTAGTGTCATTTGCTGAGAAACCAACTGTCTTTGGCTAGAAAATACATAGCAGTCATCATTCCATCTGGCTAAGGCGGAGGGACAGAAGGGAAGCAGAGCCATTCAGCTGGCTCTGTTGAGACACTAGCTGCATTTGGCTATTCCTGGCAGCAGTTCCAACAAGTACCTGAACAAGTTCATTCCAGCTGGTAAATATAAACCTGAGTTTAATTTCTTTTGTAATGCCCTGATCATGCATAGAGAATCCATATGGCACACCCGGCCAACTAGAAAGCACAGTGACTCACACAACGGAGGATCCCCAATTTTTATTACTGACACCTTTCTGCTGCAGCCACCTTTGCCATATCCTACATAATTCCAAGGATCTCCCAACCTAGAACAGCTTGTAGTGGGTATAGGGTGCTACAGTGGCACAGCTGAAATGAGAAACCTGTTCAATGAGCTCACACAAGTTTGGATCCAAACAATTTATAGTGCATGTCCAACATAAGAACATAAGAGTGGACAATTTACAACAGCACTTTTTTTTTAATAAAAAGAAACATCCATCATAGCACTCGTTAGGACAATGTTAACTCAAGGAAAAATTGCTTACCTGTGCTTGTTCTGGAGTTTCTCCTGCAAAGTAAAAGATGTAATGCTCTTCACTAAAGTGCTGAACTACTATCTGAAAACAGTTTGGCCTATTTAAAGAGAAGAAAAACAAAATACAACAGAATACTATTACCAGAATGGCAACATTGCTACTCAGCCTTATCACACACAATTCTTCCAAATTCACAAAGGTTTGGTATTCATTTAATTTAATAGTCTCTGACCACAAATCTAGGCACAGTTACTTGGGAGTAAGTACAATACGATCACATCCTGCACACAATTAACTTGCGTGATTTCAACCTTACACAGTTGAAAGCTGGCCAGTTGAAAAGCTGCAAATGAACTGCACGCAAGGTGAGGAGTTTTAAAGTTCATTTTGTTCTGGGTTTTCCCAGTGCACAAAGAGCTTACTGGGATCTGGGATGCTTTTGTGGGAACTCAGGATGGGCCTGCAAGATCTCACATAGGCTTCCTACTCATAGGTTAATGAGTACAGTATTCATAAGCAATATTAGTATATCATTGCTACAAATGCAGAGAGAAACCAATGTGCACATGACAATGAATGATGTATATTCTTCAATATTTAGGAGAATATAAAACATGGGCAGCGTTCAATGTGCATGGTTACTCGTGAGCATACATTACCAATGTGACTTTTAACTAATGAAGCACAGAACTGGGCTGTTTTGAATAAAACATTTACACATCACATTTGGTAAATTTATTGCTACTAGTTCATTTGTTTCTTAAACAAGATGTGGAGGGAGGGGGACAAAGTGCTTTAAGAAACCATGACTGAGATGTTGACACATCAGCACCTAGTACCAGGCCTAATCTTGGCATATTTATAGTTTATGTATAGGCAGTACACTTTTTAAATAAAAAATCTTTGAAGGCAATCCCCCTCCACACATACACTCTTTGGAAAAGCTAAACTTTTCAATAGGTTTTCACACACAAAAAAGCTGGATAAAGTATTTTGACTTTTAGGCAAAAAACTTTCCTTAACAATGCAAAAACCTAAATATAACAAATAGGACCCATACAAATTAGTAGCATGTTCAGGACATCAAATTGAAGGCAGAGGGTGATATACAATATTAGGCATAGTAGGGCCAATGAAATTAATTGATTTTAAGAAATTTCATTTCAATGGGTCTATTCAGACTAATATTGGACATCACCAAATACATTTTACGCATAATCATTTGACAAGGTTACTGAGAACAAAGGAAGGAATGTTGTTAAAATTAGCCCTTTTAAATGAAAAGCAAAAAATTCTTACATGCATGTGTGTTAAGAGGGTTATTCATTAACTACTCTATTAAAAAGTACCTGACTTTTACAGCTTCATGATTAAAACTAGTAGCTTCTGTCTTACCTGCCAAACAGACTATCATGAACACCATAGACAGAACACACACTAAGATCGATTAGTCCTTTGGGTTTAGTGGCTCGCTTTTCACTTTCAAAATAAATAAGTTGAGCATCATTCCCCTCTAAAATAAAATACAAGTTCTTCCACCGTTTTCCTTTACCTGTAAAACAACCAAAGTAATTTAGAGATGGATGGAGAAAACACATGTCAAATCCCTGACTGTCAGTTAACTTTCCAGGAGTCAGGCAACTAAGTAGCAAGATTCTCTACCCCACACTTTTAATGTTATGCTTTATGAACCCAAATAGAAATGAATACAAGTAAAATAACTTTTTATCATATTACACAATAATGTGTGTTCATATTGTCAATTAGAAGTATGCATCAAATTAGGATGAGTTCATAAACATTTGGGACTTTTCTGAATCTCTTCTAAGGATCTCTTCTAAGCTCTCCAAAACAGAGACCTTCAAAGTGGATTGGATTGAAAACTCTGCAGGTGGTATATCTGTCAATCCTGAAACATTTCTCACCAAGTGTGCCATGTAAGTTAAACACTAGGTTGAAAAGAAGAAGAGGGGAGAGCTCTTCTGTGACTAATAGGTCTACATTCTAAACTGAGGGAATGATTTCACTACAGCTCTGAAATTACAGTGCTTTAGGACTGTAATGTTAATGTAATGTAGCACCTTGTATTTATTTTTTTCTGTGCTTTTTACTAGTTCTGTTGGTAGGATTTACTTGGAAAATACTGGACATGCAAGTCCTTCTGTCTCTGTTTCATATGCTGTTACAATCACTCCTGTCAAATAAACATCAGTTCTGAACTTTCTTTCTCTGACTTTTGATGTCAACCAAACAAAAAACATGCTTGATACTGTTTTTCATTCACCACAACTCCTTATCTCTGGCACCTATCCTTATGAAATTTTGTAAGTTACTTTCCTAGGTCCACCTCTACAATGTAGGCCATTTTCATTAACAAAAAACAAAACCACCATTGCCCACAAAACCATATGGATGAAAGCAAATCCTATTTAGTTGTCCCCAATTGGAAAAAAAGCAACTTTAAACCCATGTAACTACCTTTCTGATATTTGGCAGTTTTCATACCTAGGGGCACCTTTCTGATATATGCTACCAGAAAACAATAGAGGAGAGTGAATATTTGTATAAAAAGCACAAAACTGTCAAGTCTGTCCTGCAACTATCCTTCTGAAAATTGGAGAAAGAAAGAAAGAAAGAAAGGAAGAAAGGAAGGAAGGAAGGAAGGAAGGAAGGAAGGAAGGAAGGAAAGAAGAAAGAAAGACCAATAATACTGAGTGGAGTCTGGATATGAGTCAAACTGAGATGTCTACAAATCAGTTTGAAACGAATCGGGCTGGTTTTCAAACCATCAAATCAGGGCCTGATTCAAACATTGTGGTCTGTGCACCCCTATTTCCAAAAAAAATATGTGCCCACTTCTATAAGTGCAACACAAAAAGAAAAAAAATCACAACGGATTCAAACTATTTAGAAATGTTGCAAAAAAGAAATGACACTTTAGACAATTTCAGTAAGCACAAAAACATAGATGGTCTTGTAAGCACGAGAGAGATTACTAGACTTAATACTGCCAGTAGAGCACCTTTCTATGTAAGGCCTTAAAGGACAGGAGAGTCAGGTGGTATGGATCCACAGCTATTCCGAGAACACACAGTGGTTTACCCCACTTACTTTTCTTCAGAAGGTATCCTTTTTTAACAATATTTTTATAGAAAGCATCCTTTGTTTTACGACGGATTGTATTATAAATTTCTTTCCCATCCACTGTGTCGTTAAGCACTTGTCCTTGATGCTGGAGAGGAAACAAGTAGGCATACATTTTCCAACATGAAACAAAAATAACTCTACAGTTTAACAACACTACAAGCTATTGTAGCATGCCATATGTGGGGCTCCCTTAAGACTGGTTCAGAAGCTGCATCTGGTGCAGAACAGACTGGCTAGGCATCTATGTGGAGCATCTTACTGCATACATAATTATTGTGTTAAAAGAAATTGGGACCAATTATGTGTGGGGGGGGGACACCTTCTCCCAAACAGATCTACCTAAGCACTAAGCACTGTGACCTTCAGAATTTCATCTTGGGGTGATATGGAAGCGGTCCTGTGTGGTGGAATGATTTCCCCTCTGCAATGTGGCAGGCACCAATGTTTGGTAGGCACCAATGTTTCCATTATTTTCTAAAAAGCTATTTTTTGCACAAGCATTTCCCAATGGATGATGCCAATTTTTAACAACTCTGGTACTATAATTGTGATGTTTTATTGTTTTGTTGTTTACAGTTTTATTGTTATTGCTACTATTTTATTGCTGTAAACCAACTGCCTCGGGGTTTATTTTTATGTGAAAAGCAGTATAGGCATGATTTTAAATAAATACATAATTGTACACAACATTTTCCCACAGCTTATGGCAGTCCTTGGTGCTTCAAAACAATTGTTGTGAGTTCTTACACCTTAGAACTCCTGGGACTACTTTTGAAAAGCAATGCTGCTTTTGAAAATTAAAAGAAAGGCAGATGTGAGCCCAAGTTGGATTAAGCTAACAGATCTGTGATTACTACAGCAGTATTTCTATACATTTTGCTCAGCCTAAAAGAACAACTCTTTTTGTTGCCCTGTTCACGCCCATCCCCCGCAGAACCACCGGATTAAAAGCAGAATGAAAACAAGTTAAATAACAAAATGGGGTTGAACCAAGGGCTGCTTGGTTCCACATGACCCTTTCCGAGATGTTGTTGTCTTCCTCAGAGGTCTGCCTATAGATCCCTCTGCCATCTGAGGTGCGTAGGGCAGTGCTGAGATAGTCTGGTAGTGCTCTGCATTTGAAATGCTAATGTTAATATTAGATAAAATGCAATGTCTCACCTGCATTGGAACAGGATCTTTAAGATAGTAGCCTTCAACAATTTGCTCTTTTCTATAATGCTCAATGATGTCAGCAATACTGTTAAAAACAAAAACAAACAGGTAGCTCTGAATAAAGTAAATGCTAGTTTATAAAACTGAACATGAAATGACAGTTGTAACCCTAAGCTTATTTACTTAAGAATATATTTAATAAAATATGCAATTTGCTTCTAAGACTGTGCTCAGAACTGATGTAAAGTAAAAATATTTTTGCCCCAAATGTAAAAATCAAACTTTAAAACACATATTTTCTCATCCAAAAATACCACATCAGAAGACATAAGTATTCAGTAAACCATTACTAGTAAAGAACTAGTAAAGAACTCAACAATTTTAAAATAATCAGATTTTATAACAAATATTCCAAAGCATCAGAGATCAACAAACTTTCTCCATATTCAACAAAGGGCAGAAGAGTTCTCACGGGGCTAAAAGTTCTAAGTTTCTTAGCAGTAACTCCCTACATTTCTATGAAACTATTTATTTCTAAGAGAATAGGAATGTGAAATAGAGAAAGACCTTAACAGGTATCATGAAGACTGCATTTTGAAATTACAAGTAATCATGTTATATTAAGTAGTCTTAAGTAGTGATGATATTTTAAACAAAATCCTGTACAGTGGTAACTTGGGTTAAGTACTTAATTCATTCCGGAGGTCTGTTCTTAACCTGAAACTGTTCTTAACCTGAAGCACCACTTTAGCTAATGGGACCTCCTGCTGCTGCTGCGCCGCCGGAGCACGATTTCTGTTCTCATCCTGAAGCAAAGTTCTTAACCCGAGGTACTATTTCTGGGTTAGCGGAGTCTGTAACCTGAAGCGTATGTAACCCGAGGTACCACTGTATTCCAGATACCACATAGAGTCAGGATAAAATTACATTTTGAAGGACACAGATTGAAAGAGGTCTGGGGGAAGCCTGACATTCCACATATTTTACTGTTTTATATATCACTCTTATTAAATGAATGAACATATTGAGTAAGTGAGCACAGTCTATTTAGACATTCTGTTCATTGCATTCTCAAAGTAAACCTCCACATGTAGCAAAATCATAGTGAAAGAACACATTTTCAATATGAAATGTATATAATGAATAGAAATGTGAAGTTCAGTCAACACAGTATTTCTGACCAGACATAGCTCAAATTACTCTTCCACAAATTTGTTACCCATGTACTTAAATATAATAATGGACACGTTATTTTGGCAAATCAGAGATAAAATAAAAAACATGCTTCCAATACTTCTAACAGATATGGTCCAATAAATTCCTTATCTCACTTGGTTTTCAAGGCTGGTATCTACCATACTTATATAATGCTTATTTTACAATAAGAATTTTACATATTGTAAGCTTGCTTAATATTGCAATAGTTATAACATATTTACTCAAATCTAATGCACACCTTTTTTGGCCAAATTACACTGTGAAAATTAAGGTGTGCATTAGAGTCGATGGCATATTAGACTAGAGTAAATACAGTACAATAAACTATTTGAAGACTCATCTGAGAAGAGCTTTCTTGTTCACTAAAACATTTCCCAGTTGCCTTTTTCAAATAATCAATAATTTACAAGAATGAAAAAATATTACTCGATACTGCTCCTTTTCAAATTTGAGCTTAGTAATTAATAGGACTGTTTCTTTTTAAAAGTCCAAGAGTTCCTAAATTTACTAGGTTTTAAAAAATCATGGATTCCATGACATACTAAATGTTTGTATCATAGTTTTAAAAGTTTCCTTTTGTCCACACTTCTGGTTACTTTTCTTGCTAAAGCAACTGTAACCTCAAGGATTATCAATCATAAATATGATAAAGATACAATGAAACATCTCAAGAGACATTTGTACAACAGGAATTTTGAGGCACATAGAAAAATAAAGAAAGCAACATTACTTCTCACCAATCCATAAGACACTAGTCAAAATAGAAATGCATGTTCCACCCTTATTTGACAGTTATATCAAATATAGATTATACACTATATAACCTCTACTTTAGCACACTCTTAATGTATCATATGATAATATACTTTGTAACAAAACTTTTATAGATCTGAATAGCCTTCCAGGTACTAGAATATATTTTCTCTCTGCTTTCTATGGTGGAAGTTCTGAATTACATAACAGCACATGCAAAAGGGGGCAGGAATACAGCTTTTAACTAACAAAGTGATTCCAAGAGCTACTTGGCCAGCAGTAGTTCTTTAAAAATGTAGATCAGAAAGGTATTTCTATACTTTCACAGCAACTGGTGATCATAAACGCTTCCCCTTGGCAAACAAGGGAGACATCTCAATGATAAAGTGACAGACTAATAAGGAAGAAATGATGTCACCAGAAAATCATTAACTCAAACCATTAACAAAATTATGATGTGCTTGTGTGGATCAACTGTGTATTAAATCAGTTAGTAAGGGCTAGGAAGTTGAACTGAATCAAGTGGAAGTTGATTCAAGGAGTAAACAGGAATTCATCTACGTTCATATAGAGCAACTGATCTATAGAAATAAGTACTTTAGAAAAATATATTTTGGTGGGGATCCAAAGAGCTACTAAGATGGACCCATGCTTGTTGGTGCACGGTGTTGCTGTTGTTGCTTTAAGTAAGATTCTCATACTGTATCACTAACTCCTTTGGAAACTGAAATCGGTTTGAAGTGCATATAGATAATCAGTTTCATCCAGAAATACCTGCAGTTGCTCCCCAATCACCCTCACCACCACTTTTTGCCACGAATGGGGTGTTGGTAACTGGACTATAGTTGTTACATGCCATTGGGTCCAGAGTGGGCTTTTTAAGAAGTGGACATACTACTGCCTCTGTAAGGGCTGTGGGCAACATTATATCATGTAAAGTAGTGTTTACCATATCCCTGACCTATTCAATCACCCCACTCTAGTTTTATGCTTTTTATCTTACTGGAAAGATGGAGAGGAGGAAATAATGGATCCAGAGAATGGAAGTTCTCTCACACAATAAGACTCTCCTCCTCCCACCTCCTATGCCTCTGACAACAGCTCCTGAAGATCAGGGAAGGATGAGACATAGGGGACAGCAGCAGGAGGGGAGAATTGATGTAATTCGGGGGGCTCTCTTGCGAAGCAGACTAATGAATATTACGCAATTCCAATCCTAAGAAAATAGGATTTATTTTACTAAGTAATGTAGGAGAACTTTGGAATCCTGTTCCATACATGTCACGGTCTTCTAATGGAAGGCTTATACCGCCATAACCCTAACAAACTAGGTAATGGGCAAAAGATAGTTTACCTTTACAAAGGCTGCTAGCTGGATTTTCAATGAGGATGTCTGGAGGCCAGACAGATTTAATGAAGAAGGTACTCAAGTAGCTTGTATGTGGGCTATGCAAAAGGATCCAATTTTTAGCCTCACAGCATCTTCCACTTGAAGTCTTATGACAGTCCAATGAACTTCTCAGCTAGGAGAACTTGTTACTTTCTCAGTCACACCAGCTGCAGGATCTCTAACCATTTCAGAAGCCAAGCTGGAAGCGAGAGAAATTCTCGGTTGGGATGGATATAAATTCCCTGGTTCAGGTTTGGCAATTTCCATCATCTGTGGGTTAGGCAACAGCCCTCTCTTTTGGAAGAGGGAGCTAAACTCATCACTACTACGAACAGCTCTTCAGCACATTAAGCTGTAGGTTGTCATGTCCTTTAGAACTTAAATTTTTAATATAAAGGCAAGCATATATTGGCACAAAATACTGTCCATCCTAAATTTATGTTCACATTAAAAGATAGGTTCTATGTTATCCAACAAGAAAATTCAATGGTTATTTTTTCCAGAAACATGAGACTGTTTCCCTCACTAAAATCTCTGCTATTGTATCAACAGACCAGGCTTTCTTTATAACTTATCATGAAAGGTCTCAGAAAGAACATAAATTCTTGTTCATTTTAAAAATATGCACACAGAGTTTCTATTTCACTTGTTCCATGTGTTGAACTTTGAATCTCCTAAATTCATAATGAAAACTATACACAATCCGGTGTTGATTGTACTACAAAGAAAAGACAGAGTTAAACATCGATAAACCAAGCAAAAAAAGTAGCAGCACACATGACAGCACCCAACTTGTAGACTATCAAGGCCTGTTCACAACTTACCTGTTATAGTACCTGCCCCCCATCATAAACTGGTTGTTTGGTGTTGGGCATATTTTAAAACGCTGTATGTTTTCACTGGTTCGAAAGTAGAGAGAGTAATCCCCAGGCGTGTTATCAGAAGGTCTCACAAGAAAACTTGACACCTGGCCAACTAATTACAGAAAGGAAAGGAAAGAACACTTAGCTCCTTACCAATATTTTACTTTCTCAGTGTTAATATAGCAGCTTTATTCAAGTTATCTGGAATTCGGTATGCAAACTACACGTGGCCAGTTGCAGAAAGCCAGCTTTAACAGTTCGCACAGTGTATGGTCTGTTAATCAATGCCAAGTTACAAGAATCCTTCCTGAAAGATAAAACAAGTCTTACTGCAAATGATCCCTTCCATATCCTGAAGTGTACTGGCACTTAGAAACAAAACCTTTACTAATATAAGTAAAGTGAATGTCCTTTGTGTGTGTGCGGAGGCAGTTGGAGGATGGATGGTGGATAATGGATTTAGGTTGAATCCTAACAAGACAGAAGTAGTTTTGTGGGGACGGGGATTGGGAAGACTTCCTGGTCCTGAACAGTATAACTGTGCCCCTGAAGGACCAGGTGTGCAGCATGGGAGTCATTTTGGACTCACAGCGGTCCATGGAAGAGCAGGTGAATTCTGTGTCCAGGGCAGCTGTCTACTACCTCCATCTGGTACACCAGCTGAGACTCTATCTGCCTGCAGACTGTCTCGCCAAGGTGGTGCATGCTCTGGTTATCTGCTGCTTGGACTACCGCAATGTGCTCTACATGGGGCTACCTCTGAAGGTGACTCGGAAACTACAACTAATCCAGAATGTGGCAGTTAGACTAATGACTGGGAGTGGCCGCCGGGACCACATAACACCAGTTCTAAAAGATCTTCACTGGCTCCCAGTATGTTTCCGAGCACATTTCAAAGTGTTGGTGCTGACCTTTAAAGCCCTAAACAGCCGTGGCCTGGTATACCTGAAGGAGTGTCTCCATTCCCATTGTTCAACCCAGACACTGAGGTCCTCCTTGGTGGTTCCATCACTGTGAGAAGTGAAATTGCAAGGAACCAGGCAGAGGGCCTTCTTGGTAGTTGCGCCCTCCCTGTGGAAAGCTCTCCCTTCAAATGTCAAGGAGATAAAAGAACTACATAACACTTAGAAGACACCTGAAGACAGCCTGTTCGGGAGGTTTTTAATGTTTGAGATTTTACTATGTTTTATATATGCTGTAAGCCACCCAGAGTGGCTGGGGAAAGCCAGCCAGACGGGTGGGGCATAAATAATAAAGTTACTACTATTATTATCATTATTACTACGATGAACTTTTATAGTAGACCATCTAAGCAAATACTAAAAATAAAATTGCCTTCATTTGCCCTAGGAATAGTTTTTTAAATCATTTTAAACCCTGTAACAGCCTTTCTTCTTAAAATATTATGCAGTTAAGTAGTGAAGTTAATGCAGAAGTAGTGTAATACATATTCTATTAAGTACATTTACACATGACATACCTGTCATCAGCAAGCCGTAAGCCTCTTGTTTAGAGATCTTCCCATGGAACCATCTTAGAGAATAGGATAAATGAGAAAATATTAGAAACACCATGGTTAGATTGGTGATCTCATCTACTTAGATTAGTGAAGAGGAACCTTTTTCAGCTTGAAAGCTTCATTACTTCATGGGTAACCTTCCGGGGATAGAATGCCAATGGCGGGCAGGGTCAAAGCACAACAATAGATGCAACTCTTACCTTTGTAGAGTAAGGCTGCATTCCAGCCACACAAAAGCCATAGTTTTTTACACACACACACCCATCCAGGCAAGCAATAGGCACCATCACGGTTCAAGCACATGGAACAAAGCTGGTGAAGGGTACAGCTGAGAGATAGGGGGCATGGTGTGGTAAGAGTCCTGAGGGCTGTACAAAGAGGCCTGCGGACTGGAGGTTCACCAATCCTGACTTACATGATAGTACACAAGTGCACTTAGGAATGACCTGTATAGAATCATAGAACTGTAGCACTGGAAGGGACCACAAGGGTCATCTTGCCCAGGCTTCCTCAACCTCGGCCCTCTAGATGTTTTGAGACTAAAATTCCCATCATCCCTGACCACTGGTCCTGCTAGCTAGGGATCATGGGAGTTGTAGGCCAAAAACATCTGGAGGGCCAAGGTTGAGGAAGCCTGATCTAGCCCAACACCCTGCAACACAGGAACCTTTTGCCCAATGTGGGGCTTGAACCCATCAACCTATGGATTTCTATTTTTGCTAATATGTAACAATGTTTAAATTCAGATGATACAGGTGGTATGTGTGTGTGCATTTACGTGTGCATGCGTGCGTGCACCCCCCCCCACAATGATTATTCATACCATTAATAAACATTTGCTGTAAAACCAAGTGTTTTTAATATCAGCACGATCTGGTAAGCAACAACTCAAATGCTCCAATTTGCCCTCAGTCAAATGAAATTGAAATTGCTTTCAATAACTCACTATATCACCAAACTGTTCAGGAAATATTTCAAAAACTATGGGAAAATATCCCTTGCTCTTCTTTTATCTACATTAACATATTCATATTCCTAGACATTTTAACATCCTTGTAGTTGCTATAAATCCTTTCAAAATTGTGCACATGCATTTTCAGTTATTGTGTTCAGAACTGAACAGAGAAATCCAAGAAATTCTTACAAGTCTAGATTAAAGTAGTACATTTTGTCAAGGGTCTTGAAAACAATGCTACTCTCCTCACTTTAATATAGTACTGGACTTTTGGGACACAGCATCAAAGAACCTTATTATGTGCATCACATAACTCCTGAATATTAAGTTCAACTGAAATAATGCATTTTGCATATTAAGAAATCAAGGAGTTCAATTCTAGAATAACACTTACAGTATTCAGACCCTTATGATAAGTTATAATTTATTCCAGAAGACACACTTACATTTTTCCTTCATGCGGATCTTCTTCTCGACCCTAATGAAAACATACAATTGTTACCAACACAACAGAGTGATACAAATAACGCATTTCCTAAAGTTTACAGAATGTTGTAAGCAATATAAAAATAATTTTGAAATCTGAACCATTTCGGATTTCTGAAATTAACATGCAACCTATTAAATTCCATCATGCTCAGTGGGATTTGCTCACAAGAAACTGTGCATAGAATTGCAACCTACAACACTGAACTATTTGATGTCTGCCTCAGAAAACAAACCATGCAACTGAAAAGGGCTTGCTCTCAACTTCCAGAAACTATAGGTAGAATGATAGACAGCTGAATGCCATACACCCAATAAGAGCCTGCCAAGCCTTATAGAGTGTAGCATATTGTGTCAAATATCAACACCTTTCTCTGTAGAAAAGTTAAAATAATAATAATACTGGAACACACCTGCAACCCTCACCACCACCCTACACACACACACAGAGAGAGAGAGAGAGAGAGAGAGAGAGAGAACTGGACCTCCAAATCTACACCCAGCCGTAGCAGTTTAGAAAACTACTTTCTTTTGGAAGTTTTGACATACACACAGACTCTCTCTCTCTCTCTTTTTCTGTACCCCAAATGCCACTGATGAGTACCCTTACTGAATGGTTTCTAAGCTCACTCACCCATAGCATACAAAACAATATCAAATTTTCAGGATTCTTCTCCCTCAAAAATTACATTAAAAATGATCCAGGCTGTAGTCATGAATCTGGCCACAAATATTAAATCTACTGAGTCAGTTCACACACAATGTGAAATGTGAACATGAATGCTGAGCTTACATACCCAATCCCATAATGCACTCTGCTTAGTTCATTACTTCCTGATTTGTAGCAAACCACAATTTAATACTGCATCTGAACTAGCAAACTACGGTTTTAACTCACCCTGAAAACCAGGATCAAACCCTAGGTTGCAGAGCAAACACAAACTATAGTTTGCCAGTCCAGATGTATACTAGTAATACCCAATTAAGGAGCATGTGCCAAAGAAGATGGAAGCATACCCAAGTCTTGATTATAAACTGACCCATAGTTGGAAATAAAACAATATATATGATCTCCTTTTCAAGACACAGAAATAAACAAACTGGAGAATCAGTTGCATTTGTTCAATACTTTGCTGTGTAAGCTACCTCTTACATACTTTTATTATTGTGCTTTTATCTTAATGCTAAGATACTCCTTGTATAAAGTAACTTACCACTTCCTCCACTAGGTCTTCTACTATAAGTCCTTGCTCATCCGTACGTAGGTTTGTAACCCACATCCATCCATCATCTAATTCATTGTGGACAATAAACATGTCTCCTTTAAGGAAGCTATATGTAATTAAGATAAAATTATGAAACAGATTCCCATTATACAAAGTCTGGCACATTAAGTTATACACTTACAATTGTTCCCTGATTTTCTCCTACGTCTCTGGAAATTAAATGAACTCTTCAAAATGAATTTTAGAATTATACCAGAACATACCAGATTTATACCAGATTCTTAGGCAGAGAATCAAACTCAATGTGAAACCAAACACTGAAACCAGTTCAGAGAAGTTTTCTTTGAGTCATGACTTAACTTGAACTTACAAATCATTTAATTGCCTTGAACACAAAATGGAAGTGAATACCTAAATATAACCCCTTCAACAACTCAGGAGAACTTTTAAGTTCTCTCTCTTCCTACTGAGGCAAGGAAACTGCTAAATTTTCTGGAAACTACTGGAGAAAATGAGGGAGTGGGGAAGGAAGAGGTTTTCTGTTATTGACATTTCTTCTTTCTCTATTTATCTTCAAAGAACTGCTTGTTTCAGATGAAGGGAGAAATCCCAACTGACTAAACCAGGCTGGAAACTTTTACTTCAAATGGTCAATTGATTATGACTGCTTTTTTATAATAAACACACACACAAAGCAAGAGCCACAACTGTATTGGTCCCTACATGGACTGTTTTATCTGTGAACCTGATATCAGTAAAAATGAAAGGAACATACTTGTTGGATAATATAGTTCAGCATTTTCTCCCAGGAGTAGTCATCTACAGACTTTAAAAAGTACTACGGAATCTTAAACAGAAGCAAATTAGTTGCCGCTTCAGCTTTTGTTGACTACAGCCATTTTGCCAAATGCATGAAATGTTACTCTTAATTGGCAGGTTTATCAATGCACATGTAGAGAGGCAAAACAAAAAACAAAAACCAGGAAGCAGCAAGTGTGGCACATTTGTATGCAAAGCCAAATTTATCTTCTATATATCTGTAGCTATACAAAGTGTGGCACATCTAGAGCTACCCATTTAATTTAACAGCCTTTTGAGCCCATTATTTATTAGTACCTTTATTCTGAAATCATGTATGCATCTATATAGATAGATAAATGTATACATACACACACACCAAGAAGGAAAGCATTTCATGCATTTTACAAACCCTACAAAAGCTTCTGTTACGGTAGGTTTGTCTAGTCTCTACAGTACCACAGGTTCTGTGTTTTTAACCAGAGGATGTATGTTTTACTACTACAGACTAACGCTCTAAACTATAAAGGTCTAGACACTAACATGCAAGGCATGGTAGCAATCTATAGGGCATGCTTCAGATTCAAGACCCCATTTAATTATCCTGACTAGTAAGACTTTTATACACCCAATCCTCCATGAACTTGTCCAATCCTAAAAATCATATAATGTGGCAAGTATCACCATATTGTGTGGTATGTACTATTGAAGTATTTGTTTTTAATCTGTCTTCCTGACCATACTGAATCATCTATCAGCAGTCTTTCTTTCCACTACAGGTGAGGGGGAGAGAGAACTGCAGTATCTCTCCACTGGCCCTACTGAAAAACCTGCAACTTTTGCCTTCTCTCCACCTTTTTCTATTCCAGCTGGTCATTACAAGAATGATGTAACTAAGAGCTAGTGCCTGATTTTGCTTTTTCTTTCACCCTTCTCACTCCTTTTCCTTTCTATAGTGGTATATCAATATTTTGAACAAATAAATAATTTCACCCCACGTAGGATTTGTAATTCTTATGAAATATACCTTATTTCATCTGTTTCTGGCACTTTAGTGTATGGCAGAATGGCTCGGACTCTCCTGCGGTCCTCCACTGGCTATAAAAAACAAAGATGTTCTGCTGTGATGCAGGACTTAAAATCTGGACTGCAATGTGAGCAATATGATTTCAAGACAAAATATCCACTATACTAACTAGATCATATTTTGCAGCAAAATAGGATCTCCCTAGACTGCTGATTACCTCTAATAACACAATTAGATCCAGTAGGCCAATGCCTGGATGCTTTTTAAAGTCATAATACTTAGTCAAATATTTAGACTAACTGCTTATTGAGCAATAATAAGTTCAAAATATGGATCAGAGCGGAACAGAAGTCTCTTTATTTCAAGTTAATTAAAAATGGATTTAGTTTTCAGTTTGAGTACACTAAGTAGCTTTCTAGATTATGGCGTAACTTGAACAGATGAAATATTGTCACTATTTGTGTTAAGATACTAACATGAATTAGTTTTGTGTGAGTGTGGCATAAGCACTAGCTTTATGGCAAAACTGTTCTGCCCTTAGAAAGTAAGCAGAACGTACTATATTGCTACTACCATATTTTTTATCATTACTTATTTTTATTCAAACTTGAGCTCCCATATCAGTGGTATGGGTTGGATTCAGGCTCATTTCCACAAATTGAAAGGCTTCTTCAGTTTAGGAGATGGTATTATTTTTACTAATTCCCCCTGGTGCTACCTCCCACACTGTTCTGAAGCATCCCTGACCCTCCACAGAGGTTGTTCAAGGGGGCACAAGGGATGGGTGGAGAAATTGGCAGAAATGTTGTTGTTCCCCCCTCCTCCAGCATTCTACCCAAGGGTAGAATTTCACCTATGGAAAATCTAGATTCAACCCATTAAATGAGATCTACCATCACTTCCATTTCCAATTTTCTACTTGTGGTCAATGTGCCCAAAGCACTCATAAGCAAACAGTAAGATCAGAGAGGTCTTTTACCAACACAAGGCTTTCTCTTCTATTCTTTTAAGATCAGGCAGGGTGGGCTTTTCTACCCTTTTGTCTCATCATTTCCCACCAGGGTGGGAAGAAAAGATGAAGGCCCTGAGCTTCAATCATGCTGAGAACTTAGATAAATGTTGTTCTTTGCTCGATAGTGCTTACCTTCTCTCCCAGAAAGAGAGAAAGGAAGGGATGGGAGCTGATCCCCCCCAGGCTATTTGGAACCCAGCAGGATGAAAACTTTCCTCCTCTGAGGAAGAGAGGCAAGCAGATTTGTTTCAGAGGTTTCTGAACCAAGTATCCAATCGTATTTTTCAACCATACAGTGTATGTCACAGTACCAAATTATTTCTCGAATACAGCAAAGTCTAAGTTTCTAAATAAATAATCTCTTCTATGATTGAATACTAATATATAGATTTGGATGGAGCTATATAGTATCCAGTTATCCATCCACAAATATGTAACTCATTTCACATTTCCAAATTAAAATGGGTATTTCTGTAAAGATGATTTTAATAGGAGCACAGAAACATTTGCTTTAAAAAAATAGTACATACCTCTGGAGGTGCTACAGGAAACAACAATTTTTCCCCCTTAAGCAAACAAGATACATGGCTGTAATAACCTATTAGGTCAGAAAGTGAAGAAAACCGTCTCCCGCCAATATAATAGTCACCACACATTGCAATAATCCTGTTAAGAAAGATTATGACCTACATTAGTAGAAAATATTAAGAATTATAGCATGAATAAATTCAAAAATATATACTTTGGTATTTCAGTCTTTCTGGAATGTTAGTTTTTTAAAACTTGAAAGAATAAATATTAAACTGACTGTGTTTTTAGGATATTAAGGGATGTATACATATTCACACTGACAGCAATTCGGTGTGCTATCTCTACTTAATAGAACAAAAGAGAAACCCCACTTCCTAACATTCCCAAGCCTTATTTGAACAAACATCCATCATATAAAGTAGGGATTGAAATCTGTGGCTCTCCAAATGTTGCTCTCCAGCTCCCATCAGCCCCTGCTAGAATGGTCAATGGTTAGAGACAATGGGAGTTATAGTACAGCAACATCTAGCGGGCCAAAGATTCACTTTTCATGTAATAAAGAATATGTTTCATTCAAGCCACAAAGGTGCTTGAAATAAATGCCCCCCCCCCGGGGGGGGGCTCAGATAAATTTTGACTACTATTTTAGAAAGCTCCATGCACAATTTGATAAAATTAAGCCTAAAAATCTAATTTAAACAATATATCTAGAGCAGTTTCCAATTTGCCTGTATGTGGTGTGAATCAACTGTACTCATCAAGCAGCCAAGCGGCTGTAGTTTTTGAAGAATCCATGCCAATCCCTATTGATCTGCACATGCAGGGGGATGGCAGGTATATAATACTGAACAAATCATTCAATGCTGGCTACCTAGAGTGGTAAGAACAGCTGCAAGCAGCCAGATGAGTGTTTATCCTCTTTTCCAGCCTTTAAGAGCTATAAGAAAGCTATCAAGCTGCAGATCAACTTAGCCCTCTGCTTCTCTGGAAGGTGGGGAATGAAAAGCTGTGAGCACTATCTCCAAAACTCAGGCTTACGAAACAAAGCTACATTCAAGGCAGAGAGAGAAATGACAGCTGTGGAGCACATGGTCAATGCCTTGGCAGCTGCCAGTTTCCAAGCAGCAAGAGCAACCCTGCCTGGCTCTCTCTGTGCTTTCAAGTTAAGAGTATACAGTTTAGAAAGCCACCATTGCTTAGAAGCTAACAGCCACTTAAGTATCTACCTTGCATACTCCAGACATACATTCCCCCTCTGCAGAGGAAAAGGTAACTGAATGCCACAGAGCAAGCCACCAGCCAAATGGAAATAAGTCAGGCTACTACAGCATTTCACCAAGGAAGTAGCTCTCCACAACTCTACCTTTTAGTCCTGTTCTCTTAAGTATTGTGAAAGATGAATGGCGAGGGAAGGAATGGAAAATGGGGTGATTTAAAGCAAGGAACGGTGTTGGAGCAGAGTAATAGGAAATATAACAGAGGATGAATTACAAGCTAATGCAATCTCATCTGAATTGCAGGGGAATGTTCCAGGCCATATCTTCAGTTTTTGCAGCAGGAACACAGCTGGGCCCAATGGACCTGGCCCGTACCCTGAATGAATAGAACATGTGCCCAGAATTCTGTCACATATAGGGCTTCCTGGATAATCAATAAGTAAAGTGTCTTCTGAAAGAAGAAAATGCCAATTCAGTCGATGATGATGCCACTTTGAACTTTTCGGGGGAGGAAAAAGAGTCTCTCACTCCAACTCATTCACAATACACCTGCTAAGCTTCAAAACCCACACTTTAGGCATACATCTTTAAACAGCTTTTTCAACAATATTAAATCAACACTCACCTAAAGTGATTAACAACATTGGTTTTACTAAGGAATGAAAGCACAAATGATCCGGGCCTTCGATCACTCTCTCGGATAAGATAACTTCCAGGTTTCCCTGCTTGCCGAAGGCGTTCTTCTGCAATTGTTCTGTCAAGCTTCCCATGATACCATCTGGAACACAAAGCACAAAAATGCTGCATGTAAGCTTCAACCAACTGAATAAAGTGAAAAGCATGTGGATATAGACATCTGGGTTAAAAAACCCCCACAACTATCAGCCATGAACTATCACAGCATAGTCTGGAGCAAAGATAAACATTTATAAAAATGAAGGGGCTCAGTTACAAGCTCTACAGAAGGCCTGTGGTGGCTGCTCCCACAGTAAGTCAATCTTCCAATGAATTTCTATACTCCCATGGTCAGTTGCAAAACAGTTGCAAAAAAGACACAATTCTACAAAAGTTAACAAAACTTCCATGTATGACTTTTACTGAAGTCCTCTGCATTCATTAAAGCCTTGTTCTAGGCAAAGTTTTTGTTACTTGGCTTCTGCATGTGGATAGTATGCCCAAGGCAGTCAAAGTCTGGGGGGAAAGACTCTAAAGGAAGCACTGCAAGCATAAGCAGAGCAGAATCCACAGAGAGTGGGCATTAAGTTTGGAGACATTCCAGAGAATACCTAAATGTGTGCTGTGGAAGTTGACTTTACTTAAGCGGGCTGGGGCAGGAGCAAGCAGCAAAGCCCCATGACCCTTTCATAGCATGGAGCCTCTTCACATGGAATAATAAACAAAGGGAGCTAGAATCTTAAACAGATTGATACCAAGTAAGTTAATACAATTTAACACAGGCATTGACTGTGTGTTGTCACACACACAGTTCCATGCAATGTTTTTGTGCTTTGTTAATAAAATGTACTCCATGCCTCATTTCTCCACAGGATGTAAGGAGTACACAAAACCTACGAAAAGATTGTCCAAAATGGAGTTCAACTTAAAGAACAGAGTGTTCAATGAAGAAATGACCCAGAGGCTATGGAACAGACTTCCTCCATTGGGTGGAATCCAATTGGTGTTCTTGTGCTCACCAAAGGGTTTTTGATCGAGCAGACACCTCTGCTAATGGAAGAGGAAGAGAGCGGGAGTTTTGTCACTTTTCCCTACAAACCCCATCAAGACCACCTTCGACCTTGTTCTGGAAAGTCCCCCAACCCTCGAGAGTGATTTTCAGGAGGTGCTGCAGGTATGGATTATCTCCCTTCTTCTTCTGTTGAAACGAAATACCTTCTGTAAATGCAAGTCCACCAACTAGATTCCATCCATCATCTCATATGATGAGAGGTCACTAGCATAAGGTGAATCTTCTCAAGAAACCTAAGATAAAGTTTGAAAATGTCCTCAAACACCAAAAGGCAACCTCCCATGCTTGAGTCCATGCTGCACAGGAGAATGACCTTTTAACTCTAGAGATTACTCAAGGTAATCGACCAACGGTGTAACAGATTTCCCTAGGAAAGGCCACACAGTATTTTTCCCCTCCGAAGACATCAGTACAGAGTAATGCAAATGTAAGGTGGTGTCAATTAAGGCAACAAACATGAAGCCATCCTCAATAAAAAAGGGAGGGGGAGAAATTACAGGTCATCAAATGTGGCATGGTGCTGCCACAGGAAGAATGAAGGTTGACCTGCTGCACACATCTAGCCACCCCACTTTCTGGAACATACAGCCACTTGGGTAGAAATGTGGCACTAAATAGGAAAATATTGTCACTTGTTGCACTGTCTAGCATTATCTCTTGCCTGTACCTCCTGCAATCACAGTTGCCCCAAGGCAGCCTGGTAGAGGCAACAGAAAGACAGAAATAATAAATGGTTTATTTATCAATAAATTAAAGTTTAGTCAGATATAAATAAATAATAAATAAATTCAGAACATTTGACGAGGAAGGAATCACCCAATGAGCTACTATGCTGGAAAGTTGTTTCTGTTTAATGGCTAAAGTTAAACCTCTACAATGGTACCTCTGGATACACACACCTCCGGTTGCGTATCCTTCAGGATGCGAACGCAGCAAATCCGGAAGTATTTTTCCGGATTTTGCTGCATGTGCATGTGCATGCGCAGAAGCAGTCCCTCCGGTTGCGGAAACCCCGGGATCCGACTGGAGGTCCGGAACGGAACCCATCCACAGCCGGAGGTACCACTGTATTGGGTCTGACAGTTTAACCCAGGGACAGAATGAGCCACCTAATTTTGATTCCAATCGTAAACCTGCTCTGTCCAATTGTTTTGAAAAAGAATGAAAAAACCCCACTTTTAAATTGTATGCATTTTGCAGGCACTTTGTACAGATTTTTTAGAAATGCATTTTCCTCATAAAATAGGGCAATGTAATACCAAGGGAAGACTCGTGCTTTCATCCAGTTTCCAGCATTAATCACCTGTAGGAGGGTAGTGTGATACTATCTATGAATCTTGTGAATTACACTCACATTACTGAACTGGAAAACTGACACAGTCGCATAGGCAAGGATCAAGCTGGGGAAACAACATGCATAATTTAATTTAGTGCAAGGCAGCCCCCTTCTAGAAACAAACCCTGTTGTAAAAAAAATGGTTTCTGCGAGCAATTCACCTTTGCTTGATAAAGCTGTTAATGCTCTATGGAAGAAGCTATAAATGATGTGGCAAGAAATGTTACACACTAGTTTTTAATTTATTTATTAATGATTGGGTTGTTACGAAAACTAACCAATGTGTTTGGAAAAATAACACCAGGTGTTATATTTCTCTATTCTATTCTATTCTATTCTATTCTATTCTATTCTATTCTATTTCCTATACTGAGCTTCATCCGAGAATCACAGGGTGGTTTACAATATAAAAACACAAAAGTACATACCATAGTGACAAAGAAAAACAATAACCCCCACCAACACAGTTTAAAAAGCCATAGATTGTTTAATTAGCAAAAGGTCTAGGAGGAGAAGAATGTTTTTGCCTGGTGCGTAAAGATAGGTAATGATGGGGAGAGCATTCCACAAGCAAGGAGCCACCGCAGAAAAGGCCCATTTTGCCACCCTCCAGACTTCTCATGGAGGAAGGGCCTCAGATGATGACTGCAAGGTCCAGCTCAGTATACATGGGGAGAGGCAGTCCTTGAGATATTGTGGTCCTGAGACATTCTCTATATAATAAAATAGAATCCTGTTGTATTTTTATTTTCTTACATTACTCATGCAAGCATGCCTTGGGATAATTTCGGCTAAAAATTCATTGGAAAAGTAGAATAGACCATGGAAGTAGGTTATACTTTGCAAACATGGCAGCACACTGTTCTAGCAAATATCCTGAGGAAACTCCTGTAGATAACACACTTCTCTAGAAAACAGGATATACACTGAAATGCCAGCCTTTGAAACTTTCTGTGGTAAGCAAAGTTCTTTGGGGGGGGGGTGAGGGAAGTGAGGGGCAGCTTCATTTCTGAGACATCAAAATAATACAACAGTGCTGGAAAGCTACAAAATAAGACTGGACTTGTGACAGTTTTTCTAAAACTTAAAACATAATCCTAAACATGCTTTTATTCAGAAACAAGTCCCCCTGCCTTCAATGGCACTTCCTTCCAAGCAAATATACACTAGATCACAAGCTATCAGCCCAATCCTAGCCAGATATGAATCCAATAAAAGTATTAAGATAGAAAGATATATCTGATTAATATACACACATACACAGACAGACAGACAGAGAGAGAGAGAGCGCTACATGGCATGGGAAATGTTCACTGCTGTATCCCCCACCGCAATTTTCCAGGAAGCACTGGTACCACTAGTAAATATATAACGAACATTTGAGTTTAGGGAATATACAGAAAAATTCACATATCTTTGTATCCATAATTCATAGTAGGTAATAATAAAAATCCCACTAGTACTACCATACCTTTACCTTTTTATTTTAGGAAATACTCTTCCTCTTAGGAAATCCAGTTTTTACCATGGGGCATCATGATGCTTGATTATGAATCTGAATATGTGTCATTTGGATATAAATATTTTGTTACAAGTTAAAAGTAATTTATAAATAAAACTTTGAAATCATTAAAAACCACACTACTTCAATTTCAATTATTTCCGGCTGTTAGAATAATTATTTAATATATACGGCACATAAAATATAGAATACTTTTTATTATTAAATATGTCAAATAAACATGCTACAACAGATCTTAATTTAAGGGCAGAGAACAACTTTGTAGACATTTTTTCTGGGAAATCCACATACAGTAGATGTTCGCAATGGAAACCTAGCATAGAAAAACCCAACTCTGGACTGACACTATTAGCTTTCTGGAAGTTCTCTTACTACGTCATGTAGCTAAGAACTATTATCCTTCCCACAGTCTCAGCTCCATGTAAATAACTTGAGGGATGGAAGCTACAACCTCATATTTTATGCTGAGCTTTGAAGAAGCAGAAAAGACTTGCACCCCTTTTTTCTTTCACAGAAAATCTGGTACAAAGTGAGGTGAAAAGATGCTCCCTTTGAGCATATAAGGCCAACCCTGGCCTGGCTGCCAATTAGTTTTGGGGCCCAATTCAAAGTGCTGGTTTTGACCTATAAAGTCTTAAAAACAGTGTTAGAAAGTCAAATATATAATCCAGGGGCCAAATGGCTTCTTAAACCAAGGTTACAGTCAACAAAACAGAACGTCTAGCTGCCATTTTGGGGCAAGTCGGCTCTAAAGTCATATTTTTCAAATGATAGACTGACTGTGGTTGATTATCAGTTAAACGCCTGGCTAGTCAAACAGATTCCTCACTGGCCTTGCAGACAACTTCATTGTCCAGAAAGTGGGAGAAGCAACAAGAGAAACAGCCATTTTAGATCTGGTCCTAACCAATGTTGATGACCTGGTTAGTGGGGTAGAAGTGGAAGGATCATTAGGCGCGAGTGATCATGCTCTTCTGAAGTTTACTATACAGCGGAAAGGAGCAGCCAAGCATACTAGGACTCAATTTCTTGACTTTAAGAAAGCCGACTTCATAAAACTTAGGGAAGTGCGGGGTGAGATCCCATGGACAGTAATACTAAAAGGAAAGGGAGTTCATGATGGCTGGGAGTTTGTTAAGAAGGAGATAGTAAAAGCACAACTTCAGGCAATACCAATGAGACGGAAACATGGAAGGTGCCTAAAGAAGCCAGGGTGGCTATCTAAAGAACTTTTAACTGAGTTAAGATTAAAAAGGATGTGTACAAAAATGGAAAAGGGGGGAAACCACCGAAGAGGAATTCAAACAAATAGCCAGCACGTGTAGACACAAAGTCAGAAAAGCTAAAGCACAGAATGAACTCAGGCTTGCTAGAGAGGTTAAAAGCAACAAAAAGGCTTTTATGGGTATGTTCGTAGCAAAAGGAAGAACAAAGAAACAGTGGGGTCACTCAGAGGAGAAGATGGTGAAATGCAAACAGGGGACACAGAAAGGGCTGAACTCCTCAATGCCTTCTTTGCCTCAGTCTTCTCCGATAAAGAAAACAATGCCCGACCTGAAGAATTGGAGCAAATGATTGAGCAGAGGAAACACAGCCCAGAATAACTAAGGAGATAGTACAAGAATACTTGGCTAGTTTAGATGTATTCAAGTCTCCAGGGCCAGATGAACTGCATCCAAGAGTATTAAAAGAACTGGCAGATGTGATCTCAGAACCACTGGCAGTCATCTTTGAGAATTCCTGGAGAACAGGCAAAGTCCCGGCAGACTGGAGGAGGGCAAATGTTGTCCCTATTTTCAAAAAGGGGAAAAGAGAGGACCCAAATAATTATCGCCCAGTCAGTCTGACATCAATACCAGGGAAGATTCTGGAGCAGATCATTAAGCAAACAGTCTGTGAGCACCTAGAAAGGAATGCTGTGATCACCAATAGTCAGCATGGATTTCTGAAAAATAAGTCATGTCAGACTAACCTGATCTCGTTTTTAACAGAATTACAAGCCTGGTAGATGAAGGGAATGCAGTGGATGTAGCCTACCTTGATTTCAGCAAGGCATTTGACAAGGTGCCCCATGATATTCTTGTAAAGAAGCTGGTAAAATGCGGTCTTGACTATGCTACCACTCAGTGGATTTGTAACTGGCTGACTGACCGAACCCAAAGGGTGCTCATCAATGGTTCCTCTTCATCCTGGAGAAGAGTGACTAGTGGGGTGCCACAGGGTTCTGTCTTGGGCCCGGTCTTATTCAACATCTTTATCAACGACTTGGATGATGGACTCAAGGGCATCCTGATCAAATTTGCAGATGACACTAAACTGGGAGGGGTGGCTAACACCCCAGAGGACAGGATCACACTTCAAAACGACCTTGACAGATTAGAGAACTGGGCAAAAACAAACAAGATGAATTTTAACAGGGAGAAATGTAAAGTATTGCACTTGGGCAAAAAAAATGAGGGGCACAAATACAAGATGGGTGACACCTGGCTTGAGAGCAGTACATGTGAAAAGGATCTAGGAGTCTTGGTTGACCACAAACTTGACATGAGCCAACAGTGTGATGCGGCAGCTAAAAAAGCCAATGCAATTCTGGGCTGCATCAATAGGAGTATAGCATCTAGATCAAGGGAAGTAATAGTGCCACTGTATTCTGCTCTGGTCAGACCTCACCTGGAGTACTGTGTCCAGTTCTGGGCACCACAGTTCAAGAAGGACACTGACAAACTGGAACGTGTCCAGAGGAGGGCAACCAAAATGGTCAAAGGCCTGGAAACGATGCCTTATGAGGAACGGCTAAGGGAGCTGGGCATGTTTAGCCTGGAGAAGAGGAGGTTAAGGGGTGATATGATAGCCATGTTCAAATATATAAAAGGATGTCACATAGAGGAGGGAGAAAGGTTGTTTTCTGCTGCTCCAGAGAAGCGGACACGGAGCAATGGATCCAAACTACAAGAAAGAAGATTCCACCTAAACATTAGGAAGAACTTCCTGACAGTAAGAGCTGTTCAACAGTGGAATTTGCTGCCAAGGAGTGTGGTGGAGTCTCCTTCTTTGGAGGTCTTTAAGCAGAGGCTTGACAACCATATGTCAGGAGTGCTCTGATGGTGTTTCCTGCTTGGCAGGGGGTTGGACTCGATGGCCCTTGTGGTCTCTTCCAACTCTATGATTCTATGATTCTAGTTCAGACAACCTTGAGCTTGGTTAAGAATTAAGAACCCCAAGACCTTAAATAAGAAAAGTCACTATCTAAGGACAATCCACATATATATTGGCCTATCCCTACGTCTTTTTCTTAATGGTGACACAGAGCATTCATAATGGAAGAAAATTTTTCACAGCTGTGAGCAGGGCAGTGGGGGGGGTAGGTGAAGACAAGCAACAACAATTAACTATAACGTTGTTCACTGCTCCTACTCAGGCTGCACAGAAAAAGCATTTTGGTTCCTAAAATTCATTCTGATTGTGAATATAAAATACAACTGACAGAATTCTATAGGATGTGGTATTAGCGTATGAAAACAGTCAAGATCCAACGATCCCCAGGCATGCACCTCCAGAGAGCGGGGATGTCAAACGCATCGTGGCACCCAGGCATCTTCACTTGGGTCACAAGTGGACAATAGTCAAGTGCAAAATGCGCCTGGCTAATTTTGAACTCTGCTTTAAAAGGCCGAGGACCACAACTCCCAAGAATCTGGACCCTGCAATCATCATCTGAGGCCCTTCTTTGTGTGCCTCTTCCACAAGAGGTCTGGAGGATGGCAACACAAGAATGGGCCGTTTCTATAGTGGCTCCCTGTTTATGCAATGCTCTCCCCAGGGAGGCTTGCTTGGAGCCTTCATTACATATCTTTAGGCACCTGGGGAAAACATTTCTCTTCAACCACTCTATTGCCTTTTTAATGTGCTTGTGGTAGTGGGGTTTTTGCTTTCTTTTTCTTTTATTATATATTTTGTGTTTTTATTTTTATTTTTTATGTTGTTAATTGCCCTGTGCTCTTCAGATGAAGGGCGGTATACAAACGTAACAAATAACAACAACATGGCAGTATTAAGAGTAAAAATATCAATAATGTATCAATAAAACTACTGTGTTTTTTTTAAAAAAAGTTTCAACATTTATTTCAGTATTTAGAAATAACACCTTACTGTTTTATTCTATATGTAGCATATTTCTTCAACCTTCTCAGCACATTTTCACTCTAACGTTTATGTACCTTTAAATAGCACATAAAAATCATCTTAATATGCTTTGATCAAGTTAATAGTTAAGATAAATTTTCCTGACTCTGGCATTACACAATAAACCCAGACTTGCACTAGCATGTTAGCTTGCTTTAAGTAGTTATACGCCTGCTGGTTTCTGGATAACTTTCTGCTACCTTTACCTTCTCCTTCTGGAGGAGAAAAAAAATCACACACACACACACACACTGTATGTGTGCCCTAAGCATCACTCTGGTGATGTGATCAACAAGCCCTGAAAGTTTTCTCTGAGATGCTTAGCTTTGGCTCCCAAGATAAACATTTACATCATGTTCCAAGTATAAACACTTTTCATTTATTCTTCTAATGAATGCTTTGGGTTTTATATTGAAACAGTATTTCAACCTCACCTTCTAAAAAGTTAACTTTTGTTTCGCATATTGCCTGTACCCATGTATGCACATGTATCAACCAGAATACTCCTATATTGTAACTTTTTTAATTTATAAAAATACTTATATATCACTAATTCATAAAGAAAATATCATGGTTCACAACTGTACATAAAACCATACAATGAAAATGTTAAAATTAGAAATCAGATAACTATTCTGTAAATATGTACTGTTCATTGCCTGCATAAGCCTGATGGAATAGGTAAGTATTCAGCAGGTGTTTAAAAAATTGAAACAGGAGGCACCTGCTGAATCTCCGTTAGCAGAGTGTTTCACATTAATGGGTTGATGAAACTAAAGGCTAGGTTCCTTATTGTTGTCAAATGAGCCTCGCCAACTCAGGGGATGACAAGCAACACCCTGGGAGACTATCTCAGTGACTCAGCTGGAACGTAGGGGTTCAGGACCTATGCTGTTCCAGGCTTTGTAAATCAATACAAAAACCTTGATCCTGGGTTCAGTAGAAGATGGGAAGCCAGTACAGCGTCTCCTGTTGTCGGCCAGATGTCCCCAGCAGCATGGCATTTTGCCTGGAATCAAGAAATCTCTGCCCCACAGCGTCATTAGTTTGGATGACATGAGAGCCATTGGGAAAATGTCCATTATCCCTTTATGTAGATTGTTTTAAAAAGCCTATCATTAGTGTCTTGATTATATCATATTCCAACTACCTTTAAATATTTACAACATAGTTGGTATTCTAACACACCCACTATCTGAATTAGCTAGACCTGTTATGCGACAAGTCTAGTACACACCAGACAGACACAAGAGTTATTAGCAGTTCCACTGCTTGAAGAAAAAGATGTGATGGGGACGCACATGAGGAATATGCAAGTTCAATAACTGAATAGATGTTGTTTGGTTTGTAGTAATGATTAATCAAATCCTCTGCAGAAGAAGAATCCAACAACTAATGGGGGGGGGGGGAGAGGGAAGAGACAGAATCTTAACCAGCTTTCACAAACCTGGTGCCCTTCAGCTGTTCTGAACTATAATTCCAATAAGCCCCAGCCATCATAGCCAATGGTTAGGAATTATGGAAACTGTTTACACAAAGAGGCTCTGAATTATATGCAATTAAGTCATACTCTGAGTAGACTCACTGAAATCAATAGATTTGAGTTAGTCATGACTAACTAGTTGACTGGTTTCAAGCTCTATTCTGAGTACTAGTTAGCCAAACACAAACTCCTATTTTTTAGGGTTTCCTACAGTATTTCCAGTGTCCAGAAATTACAGCAGATTTCCTGTTTCATTAGCATACATGTGCTTGCCTACTGTTCTTTTCTCATGTTGCTCTGGAAAGCAGGGCTGGGAAAGAACTACTGAGTCAGCAGTAACGATTCCCAATTCATAATATAGTAACATAACCAATGGTCATCAAGAACAGGATATACAAGAGAGAAAGAAATATGCAGGAAGGGCCAGAAGGAGTTCTGCAGGTTTGATATAGTAACCTACAGCTGCCTTCTCCTGGTACTGCAATAAAACATTCTACATTTAACACCATAATTTTAAACACAGCAACTACTGAGGAAGGGCATAGTCAATTTACATCAAAGGTTTATTTTTAAATGTTTTTATACCACTTTTCACTTAAAAATTGAAGTGCTGTACACCAAAATTACAGTAAAATCAACACCTATGCAATAAAAAAACAAACAGTAAAATCCAAAGCAAACAAATTAAGTAAAGACTGGTATTAACTGACAGCAAAGGTTTGGGAGAATAAGTAAGTTTTCAGAAGGTACCAAAAGATTTAAATATCTCAAAAAAGAAAAGAAAAAGATTAATAGCCATCAAGTTAAAATGTATTCACAAAAGTAAACAGTGCATACAGTATTTGAAAATCTTCAGTTCTTGCTGAGCAGCCTTCATTTCTTCCTCACTAAATTACTTCTGAAGGATGTTAGCAAGCAGTGGCATGCCCTAGGCAGGTGAGGAAGGGCATTTAAACAAAGAAGTTGAAACACCACTTTAAATATTATTTTCAAATATTTGTTTGTCCAATTACTTCCCATTTGTTTTGCAAACAGATATATTCTTGTCCTTGTGCTCAGTGTACTGGAAAGGGAACTAAAGTGTGCAAGGGAGGGGGGCAGAGACTCACAAGCTAATTCCCTTCCCAACTTTCTGATCTTTGGCAGCCAGTTTATTACCACATCCGACGTGGGCAAGCTGCAGTTTGCGAGGGAAGGAATCAGCATGCAAGTCCAAGGATCAGATTTGATGGTCAAACTATGGTTTGGATGAAGTATCTCTATGGCTCAGTTCAAATATTTACATAGATGAACCAAGGATATGGTATAATATTAATTCCCCAAGCAATGACTACTCAGAAGCAGTACAACACCATGCATGTTTTGTATAAAGTTTTATTTCATGCATGATCCCCAAAGGCAACAGGACTATTGCTAATCTGCCTCCCATAATTTCTTTTTCTTTCTTTCTAGGGCTGTTGTGATTGAATATCTCATTCCACTCAAGGGTACGAACTATGATATCTTACTGGTAACTGACACTGTCAAGAAGCAACAAAAGCAGCTGTATAATCGGTTTAGTTCAGAGCACTCAAAGAATAGAGTTTACCCATGTAAAACCATGTTGGGTTTTACTTTGCTGGGGCCAAAGTAGACAATATGTTACAAACACCCACTGTCCTAAAATTCTAGCACAGAGAAAACTTCAAAACATAATCCTAACAGATCTCAAATACCTGCTTCATATGTTTTATTAGATTCCAGTACGGTAAATATCTGGTTGAAGGACCAACTCTAAATCAAAACCACACAGTTCCATAAATATTTATTCTAGTTTGTATGGATTACTCTAAAACCATTACAAAACTGTGGAAAAGAAAAGAAAAAACATATGAAGCATCTCTTTAAAACATCTTGGTACCAAGTACCTAAAGGATCACCTCCCCGCACATGAACGTGCCCAGACATTAAAGTCAGCATCTAAGGCCCTTCTGCAAGAACCTCGTAAACTGCTTTGAGAGTTTTGCCTAACAAGGTTAGAAATTTATTAAATAAATTTTATATACCAGCACTTTCAATCCATTGATCTAGCATGCATCATGGTGCAAATAACATATACAGATTGTAGCAAAATGCTACCAGAAGTGACAGCAGGAAAAGAACACAGAAAACTGAACAATATTGGAGTTAGCAGACTTCCTCTATGCAGTAAACGACAGTACAGTATATAGAACTGCACTCCTCTCTCTTTGCGGAAAAATGCAGATTGTTTTCCTCCACACCACAAAGGGCAATCTACCACTACCACTAAGCACCCCATGGGATATACTGGTAAAACAGAGCAAAAAGGACAGGCAAAAATGTCACCAGAGCCTACTCAAGCCAGACTGCCCTCCTGATTGCCACAGGATCACCTACTACCATAGGCATTGGATGTGGGCGGGCCCTGGATGCTCCAGCCCCCACAACATTCCCTATGAAGGGGTCGGGGGCCGACAATTTTTTGCACCACGGCAGCATCCTCGTGCAGCACTGCCCAGCCGAGGAAAGGGGCTGCAATGCTGCCGCGACTCTCCTCCTTCTCTCAGGTCAGACCTGACCCAGGAGCAGAGCTGTGGCTGGACACGCACAGCCCTTTACAGGAGAGAGGCAACACAGCTTATGCTGCCTCCACTCCGCCCCTGGGTCAGACTGGCCTGAGAGCAGAGCTGTGGCTGGGCGCGAGCCAGGCTCCAATGAAGTAGACTGTGGGGAGGCTGCCTGGTCGCACACCCTCTCAAAAATGCGTTCAGGGCCATGGAGGGTGTGCTGACATCAGACACATGGAAAGTGAACCAGAAGGTTCTTCAGTTACTGCTTGTCAGCACTCTAAATGCAGCAGCATACTACTGGCTAAAGCAGGGGTTAGCAAACTTTTTCAGCAGGGGGCCGGTCCACTGTCCCTCAAACCTTGTGGGAGGCTGAACTATATTTTTTTTTTGGGGGGGGGAATGAATTCCTATTCCCCACAAATAACCCAGAGATGCATTTTAAATAAAAGGACACATTCTACTCATGTAAAAAACACGCTGATTCCCAGACCGTCCACGGGCTGCATTTAGAAGGCGATTGGGCCGAATCCGGCCCCCAGGCCTTAGTTTGCCTATCTATGGGCTAAAGCATACATTCTTCAGCTGAAAGAAAGGTAGTGAGGCATCTTCAGTCACTGCTCCATGGTGGAGCCTTTAGGCACTTCGGCAAGCAGTTACTGAAACCAGAATGCTCACTGCTTCTCTTCCCCACCCTCTACAATAGCAAGGCAGAGCTTCCACGATTGCAGTTGAGCAATCTCCATCATCCCAGAAGGGAAAGAAGACAGGGATGAATTGGCAGCTACAATTTTTGGCAAGGGTCATGAGTAGATAAGGTTCCTACTTGCTCCAAACCATTTTTCCCCCTTAAAAAATGTCAGATTTTGCATACCAGCACTAACCTTTTCTATAGCTACAACTCTATGAAGAAAAACATATGAAGATCAATTTACCATGTGAATCTTGGAAAGAGCAAGAAGACTCATAAAATCAAATGCTTGTCTGATGGCATTAAAATAATTCATGTACAGACTGATCTTATGCATCTTTTCTCAGAAACATATCCCAACAAATTTAATGAGACATCCTTCCACATAAGTAGGATTGCAGCCTAAAACATACTGAAATCTCAATTCTACGTTAAGTCTGTATTACTATGACTGTTACGTATTTTAAACATCCTTCTGAGTAATGTAAGGCAGTGGTCTCCAATCAGTCCAGGCCTGAGACCTATGTCCGATTCCCAACCAGGAGCATGGGACCCATTGTTGATTTAAACTTAACAGTTTTAGAGCCTCACCATATATTAGATACAACAAAAAAAGTATTGGAATGCTATTTTTTCAATACAAGCGAACCATTATTTCATGTATTATTGGTAAAACTTTTGAACTCTTTTAGTAGTTGTGTCCTCTTTGATTTCTGGTGGTTTTCTCTTCAGTGAAGCTTGTGGTTGAAACTGAGCAAGAGGGCAGGTCATCATCACCATCTATGCCTTTCTATCACTTCCTATAACTTTCACCACCTCCTTTCCGTTTCTGTGACTCGCTGCTGCCCTTTTCTCTCCCTTCCTTCTTGCATTTCTACCCATTCTTTTTCTCACCTTATTCTACTTTAACTTGCTAGTAATACCTTTCTGTCTTCATCTCACATTCCTTTTCACTCTGCTCCCTTTCTTCCAGCTTGTGTCACCTTCTCTACACTTTAATTCACCCCTCTGTGCTCTTGCCCCCTTCTAATGGCAACCTGCTGAAATAAAAATGAACAAATATTCTTGGAAAAATTCATTATCCCCAGAGCCCAATAGAGGCAGCAGCTGTTTTCTGTTGCCCCTTTGTAGGATGACGATGTTTGAAGAAACTACTCTTCAGATTCTCCCACACTAAAGTAACATATAGTTGTACTTCCAAAAAAAGAAAGTTTATTCCTTTTAGTTTGCAAAATCTTGGCATTTTACAATTCCTTTAAAAAAGCAATTATATAAAAACAAATTGCATTCCAAATCAGCACTGAATATTAAACTGCAGTCTTGTGCACACTTATTTGAGAGTAAAGCTCCGTCCATGGCTGAACCCAGGGAAAATTACTCCCAAAGAAGAGCACTGGAAGAATTGGGTTGCAAGTGGCAAAAGTACAATCCCTATTCATGCACTTTAAAATGGGAGTAAAAAGAAAAGCCCTGCCATGGTTGAACCCAAGAAGCCTCACTACTAGAGTAAATTCCTCAAGAAATCCAGCAATAAAACTGTAGAAACAGGAATTCCTTTCCACACTGGAGTGTTTGTGTGTTGGAGTGTGTGTTTGTGTGTGAGAGTGGTGCCAAATTTTCATATCACATGGGGCACTGCTGAAATTTTAAAGCTCAAAGTCTGCCACTGCTCTCACAAATCTCTGTGATTCAGTGAAATTACAGAAATAAGATGAATAGCCGCCTTCCAAGCTAAACAGCATGTTCCCAGCAAGGAGTGGGAAGGTGGGAGCAATGCTGGACCAGACCAGGCCAATGTAAGGAGGCTTGGCTGAGGGTTAAATGGCAGTAATAGCTTTGCTGCAACCCACCTGTGGATTCTGAAGCACTGGTCAAAGACCTATTGTAGGGTGTTAAAACTAACCCATACAAAATTTATCTTGAGTGTGCATATTTAGAATTTCTTGAAGTACAGTGGTACCTCGGGTTAAGAACTGAATTCGTTCTGGAGGTCCATTCTTAAGCTGAAACTGTTCTTAACCTGAAGCACCACTTTAGCTAATGGGGCCTCCCGCTGGCGCTGCGCCGCCACTGCACGATTTCTGTTCTCATCCTGAAGCAAAGTTCTTAACCCGAGGTACTATTTCTGGGTTAGCGGAGTCTGTAACCTGAAGCGTCTGTAACCTGAGGCATCTGTAACCCGAGGTACCACTGTATGTTGATATTTCCTTTCATTTATTTTCAAACACCCCCCCCATGTATATATTGTGGACTTCAGCTTTTATGTGAGTAAAAAGTGTCTGAAAAGACAGGCTGTGTCATGATAGTCTGTGCCAATGGCATCAGCACTATTTGTAATGCCTTTTAAAAGGACGACATTCAGAGAAAGCAAAAAGGGTGACCACAGAGATACAAAATATGACAGCATTCCTTTACCCCTGACAGTTATGTCAAATTAGGAATTTTGATAGCTACAACTTCTTCTTCTAACATATATTAGCACCTGCAAAGAGTCTCTCTCTGCCATAACTAGGAAGCTCAATGACAATGCTTTGTGTGCGGGAGGTCCTGGATTCAATTGCTAGCATCTCCAGATAGGGCTTAGAAAGCCAGGAAGCCATGGTAACTTGCTCCTAAGCAGAAGCACCTTCCTATGTACTAAAGGATAGCAGGGTATAAATATTTTCTATAGCTGCAAATAAAGGAGCACAGTGGTACCTTGGTTCGACTCCCGAAACCATTCGAAAACCAAGGCACGGCTTCCGATTGGCTGTAGGTTCGGCTACCGAAAAACGTTCACAAACCGGAACACTCACTTCCGGGTTTGCGGTGTTTGGGAGCTGATTTGTTTGACAACTAAGCCGTTTCGGAACCAAGGTACCAAGGTACCACTGTACCTGGCAAGGTAAAAAGAAACAGAAAAGGGTCAAGATTAAAGATGTGTCCGGCATGGGGAGTGGGGATGAAGATAATAGACCAAGAGAAAATGGTTGTGAAAAATATGGCCACGCTTTTGGGAAATGTGCACTTAGGGGCACTTTTGAGCAGTGCCTTTTTTCTAGGGGTACTCATGGGTACACAGTACAGTCACCTTTTTTTCCTAGAAAAAAAGCACTGGTTAGAAGTCTGGCACTTACTGTAACAACTTCATGGCGAGTACTGGCACCTTTTCATTTTTTCAAGAAGAAAAGCACTGCTTTCGAGGGCTCTGAAGGACAGCCTCCATATTTGGTGGCGAGTCGATTATTAGTATTTATTTTAGGGAGAAGGGCAAGGGGGTTTTTTAGTCCCAAGTTCCCAGTTTTTTCCAATCAGAAAGCAGGCAGCTGACTAAGCCAACCGAGGAGGCTGCTTCGAAGGGGATGCGGGAGGAGGCAAAGAGGCGGGCGCAACAGGGAAACTTTCAGGAGTTGCCCGGAGTTTGACACACACGCACCAACGCCGACTTCACAACTGGGTGCGGTGCCGGGACTGAATCAGCCGGATCCCCATTCCTGGGATTTGGGGGGGGAGGAGAGAGGGGATCGGGTTGGGGTAAAGAGAGAGAGGCGGAGAAGGAGAAGAAGGCGCTACTCACTGGTTCGTGGGGGGCGCGTTCAGCGGGATGGCCACCTCCTCCTCCTCGTACTCGGGCCCGTCCAGCGAGTCGCCTTCGTCCACTGTGCTCAGCCCTCCGGCCGGAAGCGGCGGCTGCGGGGGCGGCGGCAGCGGAGGGAACCCGCCGGCAGCGGTACCCCCTCCGCCGCCGCCCTCCAGGAGCGGGATCGCCGCTGGCGGAGACAGGCCCTTGGACATCTCCGCAGGAGGGGCAGGCCTGGAGCCCACCGAGGGGAGCGACGCCGCGGGGCAGGCGCCGCTTGGGCCCGAGCTGCCCAGGAAAGCGGCGGCGGCTGCGGCGGCGCTCTTGTTGCTCCGAGAGGCGGCGGCGGCGGCAGCAGCAGCGGCGGGAGGGCAATGCCCGCTGGGCTCTCCGGCCGCTCCCGAGCCGCCCTCTTCGCCACCCGCTTCGGCCGCCGCCATCATGCTGCTCCGGCTCGCCCCACCCCTTCCCCGCCCCTGCTGCTGAGGCAGCGCGCGGCCGGGAGGAGGCGACAAAGGGACAGAGGGGGAGAGAGGCGGCGGGAGGGGGGGGCGGACGACGGACCAACGGCCTCCTTCTACCTCGGCGGGGAGGAGCTTCAGGAAAAGCCGCCGCCGCTGCCTCTTGAGGCGCTGAATGGGAACAATGGGAGCGCCCGCCCAAAGACCTCGCCGCCCGCTCAGTCAGTCCTGGTGCGCTGAGGTAAACACCCGTTTTGTCCCCTCCTCAACGGCTTCGCACGCGCTCGCCCGGTGGGCGGGGGGGGGCAGCGCCTCCCTTGTTCCTCAGCTGCCACTGTAGTCGCCGTCTCGTTTTACCCCCCACCTGCTAACTCCCCCCTCCTCACGGCCGCCGCCGCCGCCTCTTCGGAAAGCGCATGCGCGCCTGTCCCTCCAGTGAATGTGCTGGCCGCTTTCCGCAAGCGAAGGCTCTTTGGAAAGAGGCGGCTCGGCAAGGTAGCGCTCTCTTCTTCCCTCGCGCTCTGCCTTGTGTGCCAGGAGGGCGACCGAGGGTGGTGCCTGTCCTTATGACACACACACACACACTGCAGTGCTGCCAGGGCTCCTTGACGGCCCCGGAACTCAGCACACGTTTGCGAAAGAGGCGGAGGGACTCGGCTGCGCGACCCTCTGCGCGCGTCTATTCCGAAGTTCACTCCTATTGCGCTCAGAGGGGTTTGCTCCCTTTTAAACTTGCTGGCCGTAGTAGATGCAGCCTGAAAATACTTTGTAGGCATCAGCTTGCATGGAGTCGAGCCCGCCAGCACATTGATGCATGAAGCAGACTAGAATACACAAAACTGCGTCCCACAGTTGTTGATTTCAATTTATTTTTTTTAAAGATATCACAAGATTCTTTTTTTACTGTGTTTTGTTTTCTGTTTTTTTGCTGCTAGGAAAGTCAACAGCAACTCCAAGTATTCGAACCGATATCGTCTGAAGTGCCTCCGAGTCTATCGTTATACATCAACATCTATGAATAAATAACTTTATTGGAGTTTAGATGGCCATTATGCTATTATCTAGCATTATTGTTTACTAGATTTAATTAGTGCTCTCAAATAGTATTCTTGAGGTTGATTTGCACTGGGAGCTGTTTTATGATGCTTATTTCATTCATGTATCTTCAGACTGAAAGTATTTAAAGGCTTTCTTTTCTTTTATCTCTACTCTTGCCTGAATAGCCTGAAACTACTCCAAATACCACACCTTGTATTTTTAATGCATATTTATGATCAGCAAATTGGGGTGGAAAGTGGTATTTCATTCCAGATGCACCCTGTCATTGCTAAGCAATGGCATTTCCTCAATATATTTTGTGTACAGATAAATAAAGAAAGAGGAATATGATTCCAAAACCGCAAACAGAACTGCCAAACATGCAACTCTTCAAAATAGGGCAGGGTTGGGAGAATAGACTTCTGGTCTATTGGAATAATTGCACAAGAAAAGAATATTTTATAGGAAACGTTAAAGCTTAACAAGAATAACAAAACCTGCATTATACTCAGGATTAAATTATGACTTCGTATAACAAAAAGTTAATTGGGCATGAACAAAGAAAATTGAGAAATAGTGGAGGGAGACACAAATCTGAAGCACTCTAGAACCTGTTCCTGTACCTAGAAGATGAATTTTTTTCTCCACTTGGGTTAAGTTGATGTTTATTTGTAATTTTACATGAATGGAGGAAAAGTACTGAGTTGAAAACGCCTGGCATATTACTGTTTTGGTACAAGCATGGGGATGAAATTTGTACTCTGAAAATTCTATCTGTATGTGTTTGCAGATGGATAAAAATGCAGTTTATTCTGCACCAGTGGCGCAGTAGACTCATAATCTGAGTACTTTTAGCTTTGTTGATATACAGCACCTTGAAACATTACATGTAATGTTCAACATTGCAAGGGAAATATTGTGACTTCAAACACGTTTATTTTTTTCTACTCCGCCTCCTAAGTACATAACTAGTACAGTTGTATAAAGAAAAGCATGGGCCAGTGGTCACACATGCAAACTGTAGTGCTAAAAGAAAGGGCAACTGAAGAAGCTGGACAGACACAATACAGCAACATGCTTCTTTCTTTCCTGTCTCCTTTTGATGTGTTAGATGCTATCTGACCTAGATAGTGTTAGATTTTATGACAGATGTCGCAGTAGATTAACTGTTGCCCTGCTTAGTAAACAAAATAACTGTCAATTTATAAGAGCAGTAGCGGATTTTGCAGGAAGGAGGAGCAGGCAAATAAAATTTGTAGGTTGGCAAATTTCAAATTCATCTAGTATTCTGGTTACACTGCAAAAATTATGCAACACAAGTTGGCATTTACTATGTTTCTTCAGTGTCAACAGAGTTCACACATTAAAAAGAAGAGGGTATCGTTACATATACAGCATTTGAATGAATACTGTGTTTTTTCTGAGTACAGTGGTGATGCTATTGTGTCTGTCTTCATTTTCAGTCATTTCCCCTAAGGCAATTTAAAGGAATAAAAAAATATGTATTTTAGAAACTCGATGTAAACTGCAAAGGTATGGTATTGGCAGGCAGGCAACAGTGTGGATACATTTATTTACTGATTCACCGCCCCCCTTGGTTCTGCCACAGTCTACTAAAGGGTACATCTTGTGGCACCAAGTAAGTCATTTTTTCCGCTCTTGCACCTCATTTATGGAATCACCTCCCAAATGACAAGATCGGTGCCACAGTGATGTCATTGCGGCACATGCCTAAAGTACACCATTTTCCCCAGGTCTTCCCTGGTCCTTAACATTTCACTTCGTTTGTTAAGTTGTGGGTGAACATATCAGACGACACAGCGATTCTTCAAACAGCTCTTGTTTATTCACAGGCCAGAACAGAACTGAACTGAAGGGTTCAGCCAGCCTGCTTATATAGAGCTCCACTAGAATGCAATAGTAACCATTTTCTGTAACTATCCAATCACTGAACGTCACTTTCGATCCCTTATTTGCATATGTGGACCTGAACTATCTACAGTATCCCCCTGCTGGCCCAGGGCGAGAACTTCAGTACATAACATTGTTAAAACTGTTTTGGTTATTATCTGCTTTGGCTTAATAGAGTTGTTCAGAAGTGGCTCACCCAGTAGAATGGAGCTGCAACTTTCTGGCAGTCATGTTGCTGCCACTTACTGCAAAAGAGAGGAGCCAGGTAATGTGGAGGTCAGCATGGTGCAGGACCACCGATGTGTCCAAACTGCGAACTGCCAGTGCCACCTGCCCCTCTCCAATCAGCCAATTTGCACCAACCCAACTCATTTCTCTCTTTCTTCCCAACTTTAGCCTGGTTGTAGAATATGATTTATTGATTCACACAGCAGAGCCTGTTATGATGAAAGACAGTTTAACAAATATTTTTAAATAAGTAAAACATTAAATGGCTAGCCGCAGTTTTCTTTCCAAAAAACCCAGCACCACCTAATTTTAAACAAAAATGTTCACTCTATAACTTATATGGTAGCCCAATAATATACACAAAATAATGTAGTTCACAAAAAGTAAAAAAAATACATAGCAACAGGGGTCTCCAAGCTTTTCTGGGCCCAGGGGCACGTTTGAGAACCATTGTGGATACCACAAAATGTGTGTTTTACAGAAGAAAACTGGTGATGCTCACTCCCCGTCCCCAAAGCATGCAACACAAAACACACACGTCCGTAACAGCCCCGAAACAAACAAAAGGTAAACTACCCTCAACCCAAACCAGCAAAGTCAAAAAAGCAGGTAATGCACATCCTAAAAAGAAACATCCAGGAAAATAATTCCTTCTCCCAATAGTCAAAGTACCCCCTCTTCCTCTCCTCCAAACTTGCCATTCAGCAACAGGAACCATTTTCCTTTGTGAAGGGTTTCAGCAGGGAACTGAATGTCAAGGACCATGCACCAGTTTTTCTGCCTTCTTTGTTTCTAGTGAAGAATACTGAGCCTACATAGAGCCCCGGGGCATTCTGGGAGAAGTGAGGGGGGAATGGGGTTGCTTGATGCCTTCACTCCACATTCCCATCAACCCAAAGCTACTCAAGGTTAAAACAAACAAACACTAAAGGGTATCCGAAGGTAGCATGTTACCCATGGGTGTCACGTAGAATACCCCAAAAGCACAAATTTAAAATGCAATACAAAACGAAGTGGCATAAACTTTGATGTTTACATAAGATTGAGAGGCCAAGATGAAAAGCAGAAGTTTAAAGGCTTGGTCGTAGAAACATGTCTTCTTCACCTGGCACCAAAAAGACCATGAGAATGGTACCTGACATTGTCACCCATCAATACTTTTTCCTGTAGCAGCTCTTCTCCACACCTTTGAAATTCAGCAGAGTGTAAAAGATAACTTGGGGATATGGTAGATGGGTGTGTTGGGGGAACTTCTGTTAAATGCTGATACAGGCTTGGTATGTGTCCATGCCCATATCACAAGCACACACGCACACACACACACACATCTATCGGTGACATAAAATCTCTTCTCAGAGCATGAATTAAAAAGTTGCAGACTTATGCTCCATGTGTAATGCTACATTGGCTTTCCACATGAGAATACACACACACACAAACACACACACTACATATATAAGATATAAAATATAATATATGCACACTATGTGTGTGTGTTCCCTACTTTTCATTTTTCATTTTTGGGGTTTTTTTTAGTGAGGGCAGTGGTCACTAACACTAAGCTTGTTTGCCCATTCTGCTCTGAGAACTGCCGTTAGAATGAGTAAAATATATTGCCTATTAAGCCATACATTGATTGTTAGCAATATAACCACTCTGATTTACAAAGATGCATTATTTGCCTGTAGGCTTGTTTTTCTTGATTCTTCCTTTGGTTGCGTGTAAAATATTAATGCACATACCATTATATTTAATCATACCCCTATGGTGCCATTAAACTTTCAAAGCACTAAACACTTGTGAGATGTTATTAATTATGTTACAGTTAAGTTGTGGTCCATTTACCGTTCTCTAGAGATCCAAAATGGCTGTTGTCACATGACTTCCAATATATAATGTAGAGTGCTTGACTCAATTCAGGTAGTGTAAAAATACTGTATA